TCGTCTCTATCCATATAGGGTTCGTTTGGTTAGGTAGAACTAGCAAGAAAAGAAGAATCGGAAACTATTTAAATTTTTTGTGCGTTTGTTTAGGATGAAACGGAAAATTTTTAGGAAACTGAATTCTCGCAAGTAGCTAATTTTCTTTAAAACAATTCCTGCATAAAACACGCGAAAATTTTTATTTCTCGGGAAAGTTGTTAAGTTATATTTTAAATTCCTATTATACCCATAATAATCAGTTAGATAACTTGAGTTTCCTTTATCTTTTTGTCCCTTTTTGATAGACATTTTTTTTTTTCAAACATAAACGAAATCGTGAAATTTGAGAGATCTTATTTTTAGCAATTTTTTTTAAATCTATTTTTATTGCTTTATTCTTTTTTTCCCTTTTTTTTTTTCTTCTGTTTTTTTTTCCCTTCCAAATACATATATACATGTAACATATTATAATGGATATTTTTTAAGTGCATTATATTAATTTTCAATATGTATATATACATATCAACTAGGTTTTAGAATTTTGATACTAGAGTTATTATAAATTTTTGGAAATATATACATTCCTTAAAAAGAATAATACAAAATATTTTTATAATTGTATAATTCTAGTTGAATTCAAAAAGAAAACTCGTAAAACTTTGTTGTTACATGTAAAATTCTATTGGTTTTAGTTATTCTATTATATACAAACAAACATCTAGTGGAACAATCCTAATCTTATTCGATTTCATCAAAATCTTTACAATTACTATATAAATTGTAAGGTCAAAATCATATATATATATATATATATATATATATATATATATATATATATATATATATATATTAAAATACTTTTGAGTAAAGAAATTCCAGTGAATTGGTGTCTCACACAAGTTCAGAATATTATTATCAACAACAAAATTTGATGCATGAATTAATTTTACTCAAATTTATTTATGTTTTTAGTATTTAAAATTATAAGGGCAATTTTGACAAGTACAATCATTTTCTTTTCTTTTTCATTCTATCCAAACTAACAACATAATATTTTCTCACAATTTTCTTGAAAAAATTTCATACTAACCAAATGCACTATGGAAACTTAATTTTCTTTTCCTTCACTTCACTTTCACTTTCCATCATCTATTTCTATCTAACCAAACAGACCCATAGTGATTGTTATCTTCAATTCCATCTTAGTCTCTATTTGTTCGATAAGCTTTGGATGACCATTATCTACTTTCGATGACTTTATATTAGGGGGTGCATATTTATTATATACAAACGCACAAAAGCACATGCTAGTGTTTAAAAAAAAAAAACTATTTTTTAAGTAAAAAATTAAAAAAAAAATTATTTTTTTTATAAAAAAAAAATTTGAACGGCAATATAGTCGTTAGGCACCATTAGGGTCAGACAAACAGTGCCTAAAGACTATATTATTTATTTATTGATTTAAAAAATAATAATAATAAAAAATAAATAAATCACAAACAAAGACAGGTTTTGTGGGAAATGATCAGCCAACAGGCCCTTACTATTTGGGTAAATTACTTAGTGTCCAAAAATATCGCTAGGGGGATTTTATGCATCACCGTACTTTTAGTTAAATAAAAGCATAAAAATAGGAAATTACGTTTTCAAATCAAATTCTTGGTCTAATTGGACTCGTGACCGACTCTCTTCACCATATAAATAGCAATTCTCCTCCCAACTTGAAACTGCAAAAAAAACTTCTCTTTCCAGTGTGTTTTCGATCTTGAAGGGGTTGGCTATGGCGACTGATGGTGGGAAGGGAATGCCGGCGTGGCCAAAAACTAAGATAGTCTGCACATTGGGAGATAGAGAAGTTGTTGAAAGCTGGAATGAAGGTTGTTCGATTCAACTTCTCACATGGCTATCAGTCTGATAGCCACCAAGAGACTATCGGTAACCTCCGTATTGCCATGAAAAACACTGGCATACTCTGTGCTGTCATGTTGGACACTAAGGTCTGTCTACTTTCTCTTTCAAATTACATGCATGTACGTATGCATTAATCTATGTTCTCTTTGTTCTCTTTGTTTTTTCATGTTCTCGTTAATGGCCTCTCTGTTTCTATTAGACTTCTATTTTTTTTATTTTATAAATATTATTATTGTTATTGTTATATTTAGCATCATATATATCTACAAAAAAAATGAAGAGCAGAGGCTTATGAATTAAATCTTAATTATAAAATAAAAAATCAAATTAGTTAAATCGTAGGTTTTTTTCCCTCTATTAAGCAGAGACTTATCAAAAAAAAAAACTCAATTTCCTTAAATCACTGTGTGAGTTTTTCTGATGAGCTCAAAATTAATTTCCTTAAATGGTTGTGTGGGCCTCTTTCTGAAGAGCATAGACTTATCAAAAAAAAATTATTTTGTTTCTCAACATTATCCTTAAAGTTTTATGGGTTTCTCTGATGGGCAGAGACTTATCAATATTAATTAAAATAAATACAAAAAATTGTGTTAAAGATTGATTATACATAATTGTTTTTTTTTTTCGGGTTTTGTTTACGTTGAAATGAAGTACAAGGAATTTTTTTAACCATTCTTCAAAAACCAAATCACAGGCTGATGATAAAAAACCAGCAATTCTAGTAAGATTTGTAATATGAATACCTTTACACTTGGCAGAGATATAAGGTGCCATTCTATGATTCCATTTTCTAGTACCATGGCCAAAATGAACTCCCGACTCCATCATCTCTTCCAAATTAATGTTCCAATATCTTCTTGTCATTTTTCCTCGAATATTTTATAGGGTCTCGAATCTCTGAAAAATGGAAAACCCATTCAACTGCCCGAGCAAGAATCTTTTATCTATTTTGAATTTTAAATATTTTATTTTCTGAATCGTCACAGTAATGACAGGTTTGAGACTTTTTGTTTAACAAAAGTTTGTATTTATTTATTTGCTAAGAGTTTTTTTCTTTTCTTTTTTTTTTTGGTACAAAAATTTTGAATTATTTAATCATGTGTCATGCCAGGACCCACATAACTTTTACAAACTTACTTTTTTTTAATGAAATGAAAAAGATGGATGAAAAAGGAAATATGTTGATTTGGCCGTGCAAAAAAATTACACATTGGTGATGTGGCAAATACCCCTGGAGATGCTCTAAGATGTTCTTAACTTTTACTTAGATGTAATCTCTTTATTGTGATATATTAAGGCATATTGAGAAAGATTTGGGAGACTTTCTGTATCAGCAAGAGAGATATATTCCCTTTGTCCCTTATTAGTTGTTCATATTTGGTTTTATAATTTTTTAAGGTGACATGCAATTAATGCATTGTCCCTATCTCAAATTACTATCCCTATTTCAAATTACTAAATTTTCCTTCAAACTTTAAATATATATAACACCAAGTTGTAAGATTTTTGAAAAGTTAAAAGGGTAATTATGGAAAGATAGCATTTATTTTGTTTGACTTTTAAAAGTGAACATTTAATTTGGGATACTCTAAAAGGGAAAAATGGACTACTAATAAAGGACGGAGGAAGCATATATTTAGAAACCTATTTTTTGAAAATATACCAGAGCGTACTCGTCTTGTCATTCATACTTCCAAGACTCTTCAATGTTGTTTGCACCAATGGTAATGCTTTTTACATTTAGCGTGTGTATCCGTTCGTGATAACACAAGCAGCTGAATCGAAGGGGTTGGTTGGAGGGTAAGGAGAGCATGATTGTGGTTAACTAGGTTCTAATGCAGATGGGTGACCCATTGTCTAACTTCCGTAACATATTATGGTCCATCCAAAGGCCATCTATGGTTCCCTCCGCGTTAGAGAGTGCCCAACCCATCATGGGTCAGCAAGTTAAAAAAAATTTGTTGTATCAAGAATCGGCTAAAAGACGTAATCATGTCAACACGATACTGATCTTTCTTAACAAATAATGGTGATATGTGAAAACCATTAATGATACCAGAGGGCCCAACCCACTGTTGGCGAGCTAAAAAAATTAATAATAATTGTTGTATCAAGATTCCAAAGACATAAATCATCCTAAAAATATCAATATGCATATGCATATCCACCTCTCTCTTTTTATATATCCGGCTAAACATTGCACAAACATTATACTCTAACGAAATTTTTTGGCTCCGTCCCTGCACACGACCAAGAAACAGCCCATGCTATTTTTTACAACCATTAATGCATCATTTATTTTATATTTTATAATATCGTAACCAAAGTTATAGAGTGAGAGCATAAGTAACCAAAGTTATAGAGTGAGAGCATAAGGGAGAGCGAATTCTAAAGTAGAAGCACAACAAATTTAAGTCTCACGTTAGAGTTCACGAGGGGAGTGAGAGCATTACCTATTAAGAATGATTGTGTGACTTAGATCATAATTATTTTTTATACTATAAACTAAATATAATTAAATACCTACCATGTTTTTTATTAACAACAGTTTTATCACAACTCTACGAACAAAAAATATTTTTTCACTCTAATAGCAAAACAAAATAGTTTCTCGAAATAGAACTACCAATACCAAACCGAAATTTTATTTATTTTATTTATTTTTTAACAATACTTACCCTCTTATCCATAAAAAGAAATAAAACTGCTGATGATGTGACACGTGGGCAAGGTGATAAAATGGTAGAACGTTTTGAACACAAGATTAAGGTGCTGGAGTGTCGTTATTTGTTAGGTAAATTGAAGTAGTTTCAATAGATAAAGATTGTTGGGATAAATTTTAATGGATAATAAGGGATAAAGTGAGAGTACTTAGGTGATGAGGTTGATTACATACTTAATATGCAATTTTTTCAAAAGACACTTGGCTTATCCAATAGAGTTTGTTTAAGAATTAATTTCTATCTTTTTATATGTAGTTAGTTTACTTTAGGACTCTATAAATAAAGGAAGTAGTAGATGTTGTAATATAATTATGCTTTTTTAAGCTCTTCTCATCTCATTCAAACTTTATCTCTTTAGCAATCTTTTTATTCTCAGTCTCTCTTTCTCCCTATATTTCTCTCTTCTACATCTCTCTTTCCTTCTTCTTTTCTTATTCTGTTTTTTTAATATCATTGCAATTAACTTTCCCATTTAAAGTCCAGTTTATCAAAGCAGTTTGAACTTACTTGAGAGTTTAATGTTCTCTTTCTCATACAATCGTCTGATCCATAACTTTCTTGCAAAAGATACACTTAATCTCTTCACACTCAAACCAAGCCGTTGGTTTTAGCATGCCCGCATACACAAATTTCTGAATCAGCGAACGCCACCGATTTTAGAGTCAATCTGTTTATAGTTCTCCCTTTGAACTAATTTTCTGACTCGGCCACTGTGTTAAAAAATGGCTTTTACAAAACAAATCAAACAAAAATGAAAAGAAAAATTAATGGGCAGAAGATGGATGGATGGTATTGGTCCCTTCAAACATGAGTTGGGCTTCCATTAATTTCCTCTGAGGGTTTCAGTAACCACTTATTGAGATGATATGCTGCTTTATTCACCTGTAAGAGGGAATTAAATTGTCACAAAACTGAAATTCATTTGTACATTTTACATTTAGAAATTAACTTCACAATATATCATTTTTCTTCTTTATTCACCTGATGATCCCAGTTAGTTATCCAGATAATGTAGGATAGCACTAGTGTTTGCATTGCCACTCCACATATCATTCCGGTCCATATGCCCTTTTAAACAGAAACATATAATCCTCAAAAACAATCAAATGCAGAATACAAACCATGTTCAAATTTTCAGTATTTATGTAAAAATGTCATGAAATTTAGGCAAAACGTAAAAGCTTATCATCAAGAATGTGCAAAAACTAGGGGCAAGCACTAGCAAAAGCTCAGATTAACTAGTGTGAATATGCATGTTTGCAGATGAGCAATTCACCTCATGTAGTAGAACTCAAAGAGCATTACATTGCGATTATCTAGAAAATAATTTGTATGTGTGTGAGGCTTCTTACCATGATTTGCAGATGAGCAACATAACCAAGCAAAAGTCCAAGTGGAATTCCAATGATATAGTAGCAACCAATATTAACGAAAGCAACCACACTTTGCCAACCAGCACCTACAGCCACTCCTGCTTAAGGGTTGAAAAATATTCATGTTTAAAGATGTGCTCAAGTTTCGAAATTACTTAATCATGCCTACGAGAAACAAAATACTTGCCAGAGAATACTGGCTGAAGACTATTGAGTAAGATTGAGAAAGCAAGTAGAACAGAGAGGCTTGACACAGATTCTGCAACTTCTTCGTCACTTGTAAACAAATAAGACATACTGTGACCAAAGATTAGACACAAAACTGCGAAGAACAATCCGATAAAAATTGAAGTAATTGAGATGACTTTGACAGAAAATCTTGCTGCTTCACCATTTCCTCTTCCCAATTCATTTGCAACTCGAACGCTGTACAAATGAAAACATTAGAGGAATGTGTATATACATACTTTTTTCTAACTGCAATGAGTGGTTCTACTATTATAGAAATAAGAGGTAGAGTTTCTAGAAATGAAGGCCTTACCTTGCAGCAGCTAGGAAGCCAAAGGATATCATAAATTCCCATCCTATAATATTTAGGCTGCAATAAGTCACACTGAATTAGAACAATTTGTTTGGTAATGTTGAGCGTCTAGAAGAAACAAAACCAGTGAGTTCAGATAAGTTTACCATATGGAGAAGGCGGATATGGCTATCGCTGCATTTTTCATATAGGATGCAATTAAGATCAAAACGGCGTAGTACCATAATTCCAAGCTGACAATGAAAATAACAAGAATACTTGTATCATTGAAGAAACTTCATACATTAATCTTACAAGATTTGGGGCCTATTGATATGTTTCTTTGCTTACAGCTGATTAAATTCCTGCAATGCTTACAAACAATTACAAACTAGACACTGGCTTCAAGTAGTCTCGTACCAACTATACAAAACAATCTTATCAAGTAGTCATTACTGATTACTCTTACCATCATGTAGCCCAGTGGTATCTGCTCACATTTCAAAGTGGAAGGTCAAGAATTCAGGTCCCATAAGGACAAAATTGGTGTGAGTTATTAGCCAGGAAGTAAAAGTATATATAGTCATCACTTTTCTATTCAAAACACTTCTTAATTCAATAGGACATCGATTCAATTCACTATATGCAAATGAATATATCACATAATAAAGATATAAAATATAAGTGAAAGTTAAAGAAAAATTAGCAAATATATCAAACACAAACTTTTGTTAACCAAGGAGAAATTCACTAACCAAAGCATTACTCCAGAGGATATTGATAGCTTTATTACAGGTAATAGGTCTACAAAGGCAGCTTTAGTGAATCCTCTCCAAGTCTTTGAACACCAACCTCCAAAAACGTATACAAACTCTCCGACAACCATCAACCAACATGATATGATCATGGCACTCATTGCACCAGGAACACCCCAGTTCCATTTGATCACAAAGAGCCAGGACAGGAAGACATGGAGTACAACTGAAGCAGTGCCTAGCCACCCAACAATCATGTTCTTGAGCTGTCCTTGTAAGTACTTTTGGATGGTTAAGCTAAACACATAGTAGTAGTTAATGGGAATGAACCATAAAGAAATGTTCCCAATCTCTTTTGCCATATCTTCGTCCTGGCCAAGAAGCCGAAAGATAGGTCCCGCAAAGACAAAGAAGGGAGCTAAAAGTGTGGCTACAGCGAGATTAACAATCCAGGATCTTTGCAGGTAGATACCCAGCATGTGGTAATGCCCCGCCCCAAATGCTTGCCCACACAGAGTCTCTGTTGCACTTGACATGCCTAACTATACCAAACAAAGAAAATGCTTCAAAAGACAACTGTATGAACAAATTATGTTTCCCACTCTAATAACAATACACCTATACAGTAAACATATCTGTTTGGTCCAGTTTTTTTAAAACGGTTCTCAATACACCTCTACAGTAAACATACATCTGTTTGGTTCAGTTTTCTAAAAACGGTTCTCGAAAACTAAAATTTGTTTTCACATAACTGAAACTGAAAACAGTCGTTTCTTTAATTGGCTTCTTATAAAACAGTTTTTAAAAACTATTAACTAAACAAAATTTTGATTTTTAATTCTCAAAAAAACTGAACCAAGCACGCCCATACTACTTTTGGGTTTCTCTTGTATAATTCCAAGTTATTCACCAATAAAAGCAAGAGACTTGTTGGCCAATTATAATGTTTCAAGATAGTAATGGTGCCGGGATGAATGAAGACTGCAATTTAGAACATATCCAGACCTTTCACCATATAACTTAAGTGTGTGTGTATATATATATATGCAACATGAATATAGGAAAGAACGTGGTAAGAGCTTACCACTACTCCGTTTACAAACCGGCTCCCAATTATTTGTACAAGCGCATATGCAGCAAGTTGTGTTTCACCAATATGTCCCATAAAAGCCTGTGTCACCACCAAAATCCCATATGAACTCACCTTTGTTAGCATAGAAGGAAATGCAACTCTCCACAATTTCTTTGATTCCACCCAAACTCTGACTTTCAACTCACTTTTTTCTGTTGTTGCGGATACCAAGAGCCCCTCTTCCATCTTGTTATGCATAATCCCAAATAGGAAGATAAGAAAAAGAAAATTAGGATAAAAGACACACAATTTTTTCAGACCTTTTTCTATTTAATTCCCATTCATGGATACTAACCAAAATTTGTGAAAATCTTTTTTAGACAGTTAATGCATTATTTTAGTTCTCGCCATTGTGGGATGTGATACTGAGAGAGGAAACATTGAGGTAGAACAAAGTTTGGATATTATTTTATATGAAGTTACTAAGTACTAACCTTTGGTGGAATGGTGAAGGATCTTTAATTCACACACTACTTGTGCGTCAAATTGAGAGCCAAGACCTCCAACACTTGAACTCGTTGCTTGAAATATACAACACTAGTTGTGAGTCATGGGGCTCCTCCATTTAAAATGAGAATAATTAATTAAGTACTCTCTACTGAAGACCATTCAGAATCCATAAAAAGGGCAGAGAGAGAGACAGACTACTTGATAGACAGTGGATCAGCTTTGTGAAACAGCCACGTGATTACTGTGATGTGAGAAAGAGAGGAGCTCACCCCACATAATTAATGCACACAGGCTGGTTTTTTTTATTTCCATTATTACTTATTTTTTTTGTTAAAATTCTAAAAATACCCCCTTTCAATTTGTAAAAATTTTAAAAATGCCCACTCAATTTGTAAAAATACCACACTTGACATTCTTGCCCCCACTATTTTTTGAATACAAAAAATAATCATCTTTTTTTCACCCTCTATCGCCCGCCACATTTATAATTCTCTCTCACACATTTTTATATTTTCACTTAATTTTTAAAAATACCCACTATATATATTTTTGCATTTTAAATTCAAAAGAAAAAAAAGTAAATCGGCTTTCTTGTTTCTTTACGTCCCACATCCACGGTGATCTAAAAGAAACGGACACAATTAAAAGATCAAAGAATTTAAGTCAGATAAGTCACAAAAAATTAAATTATATTTATTATTTTATTTAAAAAAACTATCTTCAATTTTTTTTATTCTTCAACAATGCCCCCTCAAAAAAATTCATAGATTCATCAATACACACAGTGACACACACTTAACGACCATTCTAAGTTTCTAACCATGTCGGTGGTAATGCATAGTTTGATAAGTGAAACTAGAGAGAGAGAGAGAGAGTGTGTAAATATTGGGTCAAGTGCAAAAAACGTCTTTACAATATGCTTACAATGCATATTGCACCCATTTTAGGTAAAAAAACACCCCTAAACTATGACATTGGTGCAAATAGGTCCTATTTATAAAAATTGAACTAAAATGCCCTTACCAACACATTTTATAATATATATAAAAGAAATATTTTTTGTGAAATGACTAAAAAGGGTTTGACCCTTCTTCTTCTTCATCTTGGTGTAAAGCTGTTACCCCACTTTCTATTTCCGGTGTCACTCTTTTTCCAGTTCCCAGTTCCGACCAATAAAAACTTTCTTCAAATACCCAGTTAGAGAGGGTAGCAGTTGTTTTTTTTTTTAATTACCGAAAAAAAGAGGGTAGCAGTTTTTCCTTCCATTTGAATGTAGGTATTTCATATTAGGTATACAGCTCATAAGCTATTTGCAGAAAACGTGATTCGTTCTGATGCATGTTTTCTAGATGGAGTGTGGGGGATATTTGCATTACATAAGCTATCCATCAAAAGCCAGAGTTTAGACCATTAGCCCCCAAGGGGGATGCCCAATACAACGAGGTAATCCGTGAAGGTAGAGGGTCAAAGAAGAAATAGAACGACTACGGAAAGATCGACCAGGTTCGCTCATACACACGGCAAGATACTACGACTGGATGCCTAACGTAGTACCAGTAGAAAATAAAAATGGCAAGACCATCGCTGGAATTGCTGTTCGCTGCCATCGCCACCACCCGCCGAGATTCGCCCTTGCTCGCCGACCGACCGATTCTGTCCCGCCATCCATCTTCGCTGCTGTGCGGTTCCTTCAAGCTAGCCGCTACCCATCCATATCTCCACTGAAATCCTTGCTTCTCTGAATTCTTTGGTTTGGTATTTAGGGGGACATTACAAAGAAGAAGAAGAAGAAGAAGAAGAAAAAAGTTTGGTAGGAACATATTTGGAAGAGTAAAAAGGTAAATAGGATATTATGTTAATTGTAGAGTATTTTTGCATAAATTAAAAAAAAAAAAATTAGAAGTATTTTTTACATATCTTTTTAAATAAGAAATAAAATTACTATGAAAAATATACATCAAAAATGTTTTTTTTGCACTTATTCCGTAAATATTCCCATACACACACAAGAAAGTGGCACGTATTAATTGTTGTTGCATGGTGCTGCTGCAAGCTTAAGATCTTCCACTTGGTCACCCTGATGAGAGAGAGATCTCACATTCTCACCAGTACACACGTACGCGGCACTACCTACCATTCTATTTCTAATTCTAACCAATTTTCTTCGAAAACCGTTCCTTCAATTTTCTATACATACAACTTTAAATTCTTGAATTATGTGTCTATTTATAGTAAATATCCTGTAAATACTGTTTATTTTGTCGGATTAGGTGAGTCGCAGGCAAAGAGGTAAGTGTAAAAAGTTCATACTTTGGAAGAATCTAAAAAGCAGATGTAGAGCACAATGTCGGTTGAAAAACATTAAAAATGATTACTTTACATAATTTGGAAAGTAATACAGGAAAAGAGGAAGATAGATTCAAGCTGGTCATCAGTCCCATCACCACCCCACCGGTTTCACGTGATTTTTGGATTTCTCATTTTTGTTTTTTGTTGAAAGATAAAGTATGTTTTTGGATGGCAAATCAATGCAGTCACAAAGGTTTACGTTCAGTGGTTTACTGAGACCATTGTTGACGGTTGCCGATGTAATAGATTTGGGCAAATATCGATTTGGATAAATATCGATGTAAATTAATTAAATTAATTAATTTTTAAATTTTTAAAAAAGAATTACGAATTAATTGATACGACGAATCATGACGGAGATTGAAGCCCAATATCTCTATTTGATAATTATGAAATTTGGTATTTCTGAATTACATATAATTTTACTGAGCTACAAATAATTATAAAGTAATGCTTTTAAGAAGACTCATGAGTACCTTTTTCGACTCTTTAATACAAAGATATATTAAATATTTTATTTGACTCTTCATATATTTTAAAAAAACTGTTCTAATCCAATAGTTAAATAATTTTCTAATTAGAATGTCCTTTTAAGAGCATTACTAATATATAAATATGAAGAAAAAAAATAAATATACAACTCCATAAATAAAATAAAATCACTCATATTATGTGATAAAAATCAACTGAACTATATGTAATATAATCTTTTAATAATAATAATTTCGAGATTGCAATAAAAGACATATTAACCATTTCCTTTCAAGGTCCATAACATGTTTCCACACACTCCATGAAAATTTCACTATTTTTAAAATTCATGGACCGAATTCAATTGAGTAGATCTATCACGCATTCATTTTTTTTTTGCTTTTCTTTTTTTCACTTTACAACGTTTTATAAAACACTCCGATCCCAAATTGAGAGTATCCTGTTTCGGATTCGTTGGCCTACGCCCACCTGGAAAGTACTTTGATTGTTTGTAATGGGGCTTGCAGAACTTAGTGCTCGAGTGCTTTTCTCCGATGTTTATCACTTGTGTCCACAAACAATGATGTGTGTGATTTTTTTTTTTTTTAAAGTTCGAAGGGTAAGCTTGAATATATAAGGTAAACATAAGAATCAGAGATGGTATCAAAGGAGATACCAAAACCAACAAAGAAAACCAAAGGGCCTTGGTCCAATGGTATAACCTCCCTATCTTCAAAGAAAAGGGGGGAGATTCGAGCCCTGGCATGGGCAAAAAAGTGTGTGTTCGCTTTACCATTCAAAAAAAAAAAAAACAACAAAGAAATATCAATTCATTACAGTTCACCAGTAGGAGACCAACTCAACAGAGTCCAGTTACTTAACCCCTTTTAGAACAACCAACAAGAAAAGATTTAAAAAAAAAATTAAAAAAATTTAATGATGATTAAGATCCTCATTGTGAATGCGAAAATTGAACAATAGAGTGCCATTTGAGAAACAGATTTTGCCCGTCAACCATTACAAATTCTATTCTGTCAAACCAAGTTCAATTCCTCAGTATATGATCGCCCAAAACTACAAACAACATTTGACCTGAACAAGCCATACCCACAAAATTTAGTGCTGCCAAATTGAACTAACTGTTGCTTACAAAAAAAAAACTTAATTTCGATTGATTCACGGGTCTCCCGCAGATTCCCCTCCGCTGCCCTCTTCACTGATTTCTCTTACACCCTCTGGTTCCTCGGATGGCCCCACCAATTCAGGCTTAGCAGGCCCTGGACCAGCCGATACCTTCACCATCGATGGGCGCAAGAGTCTGTCACCTAGTTTGAACCCCTTGCGAAATTCTTGTATTATGACACCTTCTTCAAATTCTGTGGAATCCTCACGCATGATTGCTTCATGCAGCTTTAACAAGAAACAAAAAATAATAAGAATAATAATAATAACCATTAGAAAAAACAACTGTCATAAGTACACAAGATTGAGGATTAAAACAAAAGATGAAGTCCAAGGTAGTTTTCCACACGAAAACCATCACCGCTACGCTTGCAATGTGCAGGATGTGATGCAAATGAGGTTGTCATCAAATCTAACTCATCTTCTTAAGACTTAGATCACTATTCTAGTAAATGAAGAGTGAGTTTATTTAAATTGTCACATATGGAACTAAGGCTACTGCTAGAAGCTTAGCACCCACATGTATACATCTCACTTGTTAAACATACCGAGTTGGCTCAAATCATCAAGACTGGGTTTGAGTCAAAAGCGTATCCAGGTCTTCATTGAACCTGAACAAGCTTTATAGAGTGCTCGAAAAAGTTGATCGAACACTCGACTGAATTTCAAGCCAACTCGGAAACTCACCTGCATTAGGCCAATGATTGAATAGGAGAATCAGTATGTCTATAAACCAAAAAGCGCAGTGTATTCAGCTATGTTATTGTTCATCAGAAACAATTTTTTTGTTTAATGATTATCCTGCCAGAGGTTGCATCCGTTTATAGGATAATAAGACTAACCTGTATAGAAAAACTTTCTACATCATTATATTAGTTGCCAATTGCCAGCTATTTTAGCAATGCCATGCGGTTAAGGTTTTCATTCTTTATGGCTAACAACTGAACTTTAATTTTAACTTATACCATAGGTATAGTAGATCAAGAAATCTGAGGAACTCACCATTGGATCAAATGGTTTCCCTATCGTCTCGACAGGAACAACACCAAGTGAAACCAGAATCTCCACAAACTGCTTATATATGCTCTGATAGCTATTGCTGATTTTCTCCTCTCCCTCGGTCTCCACCTTAATCTGCAATTTAGCTCTCTCAAAGTTATCTAAAACAGGTAACAGATTCTCAACGACTTCCCCTTGTGCATTTGTCACCAACGAAAGCCGTTCTCTATCTGTCCTCTTCCGGAAATTGTCGAAGTCTGCACTAATCCTAAGAATCCGTTCCTTCTCGTATAACATTTCTTCAGACAAAGTAGCCACTTTTCTCTCAAGATCAGTTTTCTCTTCCTCAATGGATATAAGAAAACCTTCAATCTCCACAACTTTGGATTCATTGTTACTCACTAATGCTTCTTTATATGATTGTAGTAAAGCAATTATGGCTGGAGATGGTTCATTTGCACTCTCCTCCTCACTTGCACCGTCTTCCACTGCAACAGCACCATCTAAATCATCCTGTTCAATAGATCTGTTAGTAAAACAAATGAGAATTATATATTGCACGTTAGGATGCAACAATATTTTTGTCAACATAATTTACGTGTCTTCATAGTAAAATATATATGGAAAAGGGCTCATGAATCCAAACTGATGAACCAATCCCACATATCACAAATCCAAAAATAACCGAATAAGATCACGCAAACTCCTAACAAGTACACTAATCACTCTCTCTTGAGCTAAAACAAGAGTTGTGGTCAGAGAACGAGTTGGGAGAAAACCTTCCTTGAGTGAGGGGGTTAGGAAAATGTTTGGAGACTTCAGGTCCATCTGGCATCTGCTAAATTATAGGTTAAAAATGGCATCAATTGATCAAAATATTCTGGAGTAGCCTGCAGACTCACAAGCCAACGGACTAAAATAGTGATAGCTCTGGAAAGCATATAACTGCATTAATAACATTTCACATGCATGTGCGCATGCACGTGTGCACAAACAAGCCAATGGACAAAAACAGCTATAGCATTGAAAACATATCTGCATGCATATCATTTTACAGGCACAAGCCCATAGCACTCATTTTGGGCATTATTATCATTCGCATGTGTGAACAGACAATATTTACCAGATCAGGAAGGGAAGATGAAGTGGCAAACAGTAAGGAAATCGGTAGTTTAAAGCAAGACTAAAAAAATTAAATGCCAAATGAAAAGAGGGAAGTACTGTGGATTTAAAAAGAAGTTGAGAAGGAAATCTAATGAAAAACGTTAATAAAACCAAATGGAAAACCAGGAAAAAAGTTTTACGATGAAAAAAATGAAAAAGATATATATTGAGAGATTTTTCGATAAAGGAGAATGTCAGACTCGGCAATCCTGTAATATTTGGAAAATAATTCAAAAGAAACAATAAATTGGAATTTCTTAAACATACATTAGTGCTACGAGGTGGGAAAAATTTATGGTCCACAATTATCTTTTGATCAAAAAAATACTGCAAGTGCATCCATTCTGATCTGTGATATAGGACTGAACCAAAATTGAATAAGAATTTATATTATATGAACTAACTATATCTAGATATACATTTCTGAAGGGTAGAGAGAGAGAGAGAGAGAGAGAGATCGTGTTTCTCTTCACCATTGAAAGATTTCAATGCAGTTATTTATCAACCAGCTTACTTAATTTTGCACAATGAGTAAAAAATACAATGTACTAGTAAATTCCTAGTTTGATCAAGAAATATATATATATATATATATATATTTAAAGTTTGGTGTTATATATGGGCGTAGTTAAGTCATACTATTATTAGAAATAGAAAAGTTAGTAAATAAGAACTCTTTGTTCCATTAGACTCTGTACTCGGTAAGCGTAGGGTAGTACAGGTATAAACAATTTGTTAAGGTAATCTATGGATTGGTTGTGCATTATGCAGTAAAGGTATCGCTTCACATCAAAATATTGTCCGAAGACTACTGACAATACTAACTTTTGATGCATTTGATCAGGTTTTAAATCCAAATTGGTCCATGCTATTACTGAAATTAATGATTGTGGTGCAGGGCAGTAGCGATAAGCTGCTGTCCGGCAGCTGTAACAGTGTAAAACAACGAAAGAAAATAAATCTTTAACCCTCCAAAGTACTTAAAAACTCACATGACTATTTAAAAAGACTAGGACTATAACTATCATCTACCAAATAACATAAAACATAAAAATCAAATACGACACGTAGAAAATAAGCAAATAACTAAAAGCCCCAAGATAAATAGAACCCAAGCCTAGTTGGCTTAGGGGACCCAATTAGTCTTGGAGAGCCGCATAGATGCTCCTGCATTAGATTGCCAGTCTTTTTGCTCCTTCAGCTTGTGTAAACCGCAAGACAATGACTGCTAAAGGAACGTGTAATGAGTATTAAGAGTGATGAATAAAATCTAGTGACGCGAACCCAAAGAATCCCAAGAAAGATTAAATTAATATATTTGGAAATTTTGGTCCAGTTTCCTGGCAGTTACTACTTGCAACCTCTATTAGCTTGATGTTTAATAGTTGTTTGTTGCCAGATTTAGACTAGAATATAATTAACGAGCTTTCTCTATTAGGGTTGTTTTGTAATTTTGGTGTGGTGGTGGCTTGGCCAAGCATGGGCTTATCTACAAGTTTGGAATGGTCAACTCTGTGTTTCAAAAGGCCCTTATGAAAGTTCTACATGACTCACAAATTCGTATGGCCACCAAATTCACTTGGTAAGGTTGTCAAGTTTGGTTTCTATAAAATGATCTATTGTCATTTTTAAATGATGGAATGAGTGAGTAAATGAAGAAATATCTTGAGCTAATTTATTAGTGAGTATGATGCAACTCCTCCAAGGAAAATGCCAAAGACCTAAGTGCCATTGTATAGATTTTTCCCTCCTATTATTGCCTTCGTTCTCTTCTTCTTCTACATTCAAATTCTTAATTTCACCCCCTCATTATCTCAATCATCAAGTACAGTCCATAGCGTACCTTTTTACACCTTATCAAACTATTGTAATACTTAGAGTCTTCGCGTCATATATTGACCTATGAGCCATACTTAAACTAAGCGAAGATGAACAGCCCCATAAATCAGAAAGGAAAAAGTTTAAAGAGACCCTATCAAACATAGAGACAGACAACACGGCAGAAGCACATAAGCGTATTTGTAGGCATTTGGTAAGGGTAACTCATTTATCTACAATGGAGTCCTACATTGTATACAAGTAGAGGGATCAGAAAAACATTATCGTTGAACCACAACACCATTTTTCAACATTGGTCCAACATCATGCCGTATCGCATAAGGAATTGGTCGTTTTGATTGGGTTTGTCAAGTAAATTTGTTAATCATTATCGTCTTCCTAGAAGATGCTAAGAATTGAACTTTGGTCTTCCATCCAGAACCTACTCGTGCAGATTTTACCATCATATTATGATGCTGCAACAAGATTGGTTGAGAAAATTTAGTGGTTCACTGAATCTTTTCTTCAGTACACCATTTATGACAAAAATAATAATAATAATAATCTTTTCTTCAGTTTTTATTGGCAATATCCATTGCATCAGTGTAAGTGTCTAAATATTTAAACAATCAGCTCTGTCTAGTTCATTCCAATCAGTAAGTCATTTGCAAGTCTTCAATTGAAAGATGACAATAACTCACTCGGCGAGGAACTCCCCAACAAGTCACCTGATCTTGCAAACACTGGTTTTTTAAGCGACCAAGTACCTAACAACCTCTTTTTTTAATACGCAAAATGGATCACAAGGAGGCCATCCAATCCGGAATTAGACTTTACCATGCCATTTACCACATTGAATCACTCATAACACAAATTCTTCTCAAGCCCTTGATAACCCCTACCAACTGCTAAAGCTCAAGATACACTGCAACGCCCAGCCTAAAAATATCATTCCCATTCCTACTGACCCTCAAAGGTTGAAAATATATATATTGAAATATGAAGTATCCCACCATAATAAGTCAACCAAGCGCCAAAATAATAATAATAATTCCTGGCCATTTAATCACAAAATCCCTGGGCCTCATCTTCAACTTTGCCTGTCTAGCAATAAATCTCCACCCACTTTGCCTCCAATATTACCAAAAATATTTCAAACACGTAGACAGGATTTCAGACAATTTTTTTTCAATATCACTTCTTCTTAATCCCCCCCTTCTTGGAACTCTGGACAAATTTGTTTTACACCAATACCACCACCCCACTATAGAATAGGGTTAAAGAAAGTCTCCAGCCAGATTGACTTTAAAATGAATCACCTTATCTGGAAACTATTGATGCCCCACCAATGAAGAGTATGGACCTGTTCCCTTTGCAAGAAAGCCTCAACCATTAAAATTTTCACACCCAGTGAGTTATGATGTACCTCTCTTAATGGAACTACCATAGAGTTTGGAAACACAAATCCAAAACTGTCTAAACCAACCATAGGTAAAGAATTGTCCGGATCAATGAAGTGTGTGATACAAGAGGGAGGTTTAGCTTTACAGACCCAAGTATTATGACCATTATGACAAACTTATAAGTTTTAAAGCATGGAGGCTGACACAAGATACAAACACAACATGACACGAACTCATTAACGTAGAAGAAGCGAGAGCACGACAAAAAAGGAATACACAAAAAAATTATACTGTATATGATCAGCACAACTTTGTGGTAGGTACTGCACCATAAATTTGTAACGTTTGGATCCCAATAATCAATACTCACCCTGATTTTTCTCACTTACAAGAAAAATAATAATAATCATCCTATTTAATGAATAAAACATAGCAAGGACTGGAAACATATGCATATGCACGTGTATATATGTATATGTACATGTACATGCACGACCATGACTCCTCGCTCGCTCCTTTAATTAAACATTCTCATGACTCACTTTCGTTTTCTAGAATATGGCCAAACTTTTTGTAAGAAATTTATAAACCTTAGTTTTTTTTTTTCTTTTTTGTTCTATATTTTTGTTCCGTGCTAAAAGGAAGTTGTACCCAACAAGGTTCAACAGTTACATGTTGTTGTGTGTCGAATAAGTGCCACGTGTTTGGAATTAACAATTTCTGTTTTAAAATTTTGGCCACAATTAAGATGTACCTGACACATGTTGATTTTTTGATAACTGATGCTACCCAACACATGTTTCCCACATAAACAACTCCTCCTTAGCAAGTGTTAGCACTTTTTAGTTTCTAAGACCTATCCAACCCCATAAAGAAGCAAGTCAGAACTCACCACTCACTGAACTATAGCACATGTCGACATGCAAGAGATGATATATGTTTATTGTTCCTTTTTCTCACACAGATAAGAGCAGAATATCCATGTCCACAACAGCATAGCATATAGAATTTTTGTGCTGTGGTAAAGATGATATAAAATATGGCGCTACACATAATCATGTAACCTAAAATTGGAAGTAGATAACTTTTAACTTTTAGCTTTTAGGCACACACCCACACCTAACACATAACTGATTATTTATACACAACAAAGCACCTAACACGTTTTCCATTTTAGATTTTTATGTTTAACTTTATCAGTTTATTAGTTATAATACTATTTCAGTACTTTTCGGTTTTTTTAACCCATATAGATTTGCAGCTTAATTTAGAAATGGGTCCTACTGTTCAATCAATATATCTGTTGAGTTTGCACTCATTGACTCTATAACCAAAATGAACCCATCCAAACCAAGCCCATGGCATTGCTTTTCTCAAGTTGGCAGAACAGACACCATTTCTACCATCCTGACAAATCCCATTCACTAACCATCGATATTAAGTTCCGAATTAAATATTTCACAAGTATTTCCCTTGGGTTGGGATTAGATCATGAAAAAACAATTTGGTTGCTGGGATTAACAATTCTGCAGCAGACTTCTTGTTGAGATAGGGACTCTTTAGCCTATGGTGTATGGTGGGTAGGTATAGATAGCGCAGAAATGGGATATACATGAGTTGGCATCCAGCTGCAATAAAAAAATTCAAACAATTGAAAATATATGTGTGTGAATATATTAGTTAGGTGTAACCGTACAAGTCACTTACCCTTGAAGAAACGGACTATTAACAATCAATTAGCATTAAAGAGAAACTGATTAGGTTTTAAACTACAACGCTAATTTCAACTAAAATATAAAATAAAAAAATGAACCAGTGAACAGGGAACAATAAACAAGATTAAGAATGATATCCATACATATATAAATTTTCCAAATGAATCAATTTTTCCACATAGAATTGAAGAGCAACAATTTGACTAAAGTATCCACGAAAAAGAATAACAATCAACCAAACCACTAATGATAAATAACTACATATGCATCTATGTAATATGGAAGGATGATATCCATACATATATAAATTTTCTAATTGAATCAATTTTTCTCGTAGAAATGAATAACAATAGGTGGGTAATAGCAACAATTTAACTAAAGTGACCACCAAAAAGAATAACAGTCAACCAAACTAGCAATGATGAACAACTGCATATACATGTATCTATGTGTATCCAGAGTTACCTGAATGTTCGATTCTTGAACCTCCTCCAATTCTTCGGTCTCGGTGGTTTCTCCATGTGAAGCAAAAGGTGAGAATTTAAGCAATCGATGCGATAATTTCTTAGATGAGTGAAGAGAGTGGGTGAGGGAGAATTTGGGGCATGTTTGTCTGTTTCTGAAAGAAACGCAGAGGAGTTTTGGAGATTTGAAGGAGTTGGTGCTGAGGCGTATTGAAGGTGGCCGGAAGGTGGGTGTTGTTGGGACAGTAGTAGCCATTGAAGACAGTAGAGAGAGAGAGAAGTGGAGGGAAGGTGAAGCTGTTGAAAATCGGATTGGGGTTAGCAAAATGTGGATCCACCTATAAAGATTTTCGTCCTTTGATCTGCACCGTTGGATTGCTCTTCTTCCATTATCGTGATGGTACTGGAAGCCTTTAAATGTGAATTTACACTAACTTGTACTTTGTTTAAAATAAATTTTCTAAATGGACCTCGGTATGTTTTTAAAAAGTACAGTCCTACAGTAATAAATAAATAATAGTAGTTTTTTTTTATGGTATATTTTGTATTTGTCGTAGTGAATAAAATGAAACAAATTCATGTTAAAAAAAATAAAAAATAGATATTATTTTAATGTGAGTAAATATTTGAATATGAAAACGGATTTTATAGATGTGAGATTCTTATTTGCAGTCTTTTGAAATGGACTCAAATTTGGGCTGGATTTTAGTTTAAGCTTGATCTATATCTGTGAGATTTGTGTTCAAATTTGACTTAAATTGGAGATGAAACTTTTTATTAAAAAAGTCCCACATTTAACCCATGATTCGAAATTAAAATTAATCATGATTAAAAAAAAAAATTTTTTTTTTTTTTTGGTCCTCCATTTCACAAGTTGAATGTTCTCCCTATTACATTTTGCATTGGGCTTCTTTTGCTTGCAGGCTGTCTTCGGAAAGAAGTAGAAAAGCAAGGAGTTTGGTTTCGGTTGTCCTGGTGCTATCGTAGGACCTTTCCACTAGTACTAGTTTTCGATTTTTGGTGGTAATTTCAAATTAATCTCCAATAACTCAACATGGATAACATAAAAGATGATTAGAATAGAACGCGTAAATAAGATAATCACTTCATTCACTTTCTGTAGACCTGACTCGTAATCCAGGAAAACTCTGCGATTGTTTGCTTGCCTTAACTCAATCTCTATATATATATTTTTATGGCAAAAAATACACCATCTCACTCGAACTCCAATCACAGTCATTTAAAAATTTACCTTATTTTAAGCTGTATTTACCGCTTTTAGTGGCGTTGAACTGAGTTATGAAAAAGCTCCGGTATTTTTTTTTTCCCCCTTTGTTTACCCTGATTGCAACAAAGAAAAAGCCAGAAAAACAGACATAATAATAATAACTCCCTCCCTATTGTTTAAGAAATTTAAAAGGGCCACACATCCCACTTTAAATCTGAGGATTAGTTTTTTTGACAGCCCAATTGCAAAAAAATGGCCCATTTGATAGCCCGTCCTATGGGCCAAATTAAGCTCAAAACTCCAATTTGATGTGAGAAACAAGGAGTCTGTTTTTGCTTTCTTAAGACTGCAAAAACAGAAAACATTACTTAATGCACCCCAGGACAAAAACATTCCCATCAATTATGTATATAAATACATATATATATGTATGATGTATACATTTATTATGTAATATATAATATATTTAGCATATGATAATTTATTATGAATAAAAAATATTAAGTAATATATCTTATATGTAATAAATTATATATTGTGTTATAATATTGTAAATTAATTATAATTTAATATTTACATATAATATAATATAGATATGATATATAATAATATAAAATATCTACTGCTTAATAATTTAATAACATGATATTCTATATTAAAAATTATTTTGTCACAAAAAATCATTTATATTATTATTTAATATATTATATATTAAAATTTATTTTTATCAAATAAAAAATAATATACAATATTTAATTTATTCTATATTAAAAATATATATTTTTATTAACATTTATTATGCAACTTAGTATATAACACAAATAATATGAATTTTATTTGAAATGAATAGTGTCTGTGTACTAACATTAGTGAAAACGTTTCTCTGTTACAGTTCCGAAAACATAAGAAACATCATTTTGATATTTTCTCTTTTCTTCACAAAAAATTGAAAATGTTTTCTGTTATAGAAAAACAAAAATATTTATTGAACGCGATTTTTGTTTTCGTTTTGCCCTTTTAGAGATTGACAACAGAAAATAAGAAACGTTTCTCGTTACTAAAAACAACCCTGCTTGGTTTGTAAGTATAAAAACAGTTTTCTGAAAACATAAGACTGTATAAAAAATTCTAGAGAAAATTTAAAACTTCAATACTTAATTTTGTATATTTTAAAAAATGCTAATTTTTTCAAATTATTAAGTTTGACTGCTAATTTTTTAAAACTAATTACAAAAGTATACTAAAACGCTATTTTTATTTTTTCATGGTCCAAAACACCCTTCTATACCTTTTAATCCAAAAATAATTTTTTATTCTTTGTGCAACCCTTCCCACTCGAATTCTTTTTAGTTTTTGGGCAACCCTTCGATGTGCAACAATTTTTTTTTTTTTTTTTAACCCAATGTTGCACATGCTTAAGTGTTGCAAAATAAATAATGCATTATCAATTCATTTTCTTTACAATAACATGGGCAATATGAGTTAGCTAAACTCACACAATATCAATCGCAACATGTAGGAACAACAATTTTATCATACCATAAGAAATAAGTGACTTACAAAAGAACAGTTTGATAACCGTTTCATCACATTATAAAAATTGAAATTTAAAATAGACTTATTTGAATAAAATCAAACAAATAACAATTCAAAGTACATCCCTATTTCAAATTGTTTAGTATTCAGGTTGTGAATTTTTACATTTTTGACCGTTGGGTCTAGTTTGCATATAACGTGAACAACGAGTAACGTTTTTTTCTTGAAATTGTGACTCAATACGCTTCATACGCGGCCATTCAACAAATAGCAATCTTCTTTTGTTCCAAGTCTCCCAATAAAACTCTCTAGATGATTGAATAATACTGGTCTTGACTAGAGTGAGAAAGACATATAGCAATAGTTACTTTTTAGAAGGATATTTTGGATCATAAAAAAATGTAAATAGTATTTTAATACAATTTTGTAATTAGTTTTAAAAAGTTAGTAGTCAAATCTATTAATAGTTTGAAAAAGTTAACAATTTTTAAAATATATAAAATTAAATAATAAAGTTTTAAAAGTTTCCAAAATTCTACTTAAGAAGTGTTTTCCAAATTACAAATCAAGCAACTCCCACATTTTCAACTATGATAGAAGCATTTTCTGAGCAGCATCACTTATTGGAGTCACCCTCAAATTGAGGGCTTCAATGTCCACATCAATATAAGTAATAACCCCAACAAACTCGTTCAACGAAGATAGACGGTGTCTGCATCGAGAATCCCTTGAAATGATGAATCCCACCACTTGCTTACGGCAAGAGACGATTAAAAGTGGACATGTGGATTTACCTTCAAAAATTAATATAGCATTCACTGGAGGGGACCCATATAGGAATTAAAAGGATGGAAAAATGAAAGAGACAAATAAAAGTAGGAAGTGAAAGTGTAGTGTGAAAAATAAAATTTTCAATCATGTATTTGGTTAGTGTGAAGTATTTTTTTTAAAATATGATAAATAATTTTTTTTTTTTTTTTTTGCTTTTCATTTTCATCTAACCAAATTAACCAACCCAAAGGAATTTTCATTCCTACTTGGACGCAGCTAAAAATAAAAATGGTTTAACAGTGTTTTGTCAAAATGAACCGTGGACTCGATTTGGAGCCATTGAAACACCATTTGTTTCTTCTTTTCCATTTTTTCCCTTGCCCACATGATTCCGAGCCATAGGTTAAATTTAGGGGGATACAGTGTAAAAAAAAAAAAAAAATTCAATAATCACGATAATAAATATAGATTCTATAAATCAAAAGAAAAAGAAAAAAAATTATTCAAAATAATATGTTAATCAATGAGTATTTTAAGATAAATAAATAGTTAATAAAAAATTAAAAAAGAAAGAAAAAATGGAAGAATTTTGAAAGAGAAAAAATTAGAGTTTGATTCAAAAAGAAAATTTTGACTTTTTTTTAAAGGAAATTAAACGAATTTAAAAAGTAAAAAAATACAAAATTAAAAAAATAATTTTAAAAAATAAAATTTTTAAGAAAAGCATTATTTAAATTTTTTCATATATACATATAAAAATATATAAATTTAATATACATATTATAATAATCGGGGTCAGGTCACGAGGCACGTGTCCCATAGGCATTTAGTGGCTCCGCACATGACTATGGTAAATTACTGAGACACATGGGGTGGTTTTTGAAAAAGTGGACTCACCAGAGCCAAAATTATTGCAACGAAGACAATCTCTGAAAGGACAGATCTAAATCTCATTGGACAAAAATCTTCCACGCCAAACACACAAAAGGAGGGCAAGGACAACACGAGTGTACTGGGATCATCCCCCTGGTCCGCAAACTTTACAGCTTGATTGCATTCCTTTTCTTTAGATTGTCAACCTATTATGATACTACATTCGCTTAAATTTTGTAAAATGTAAATTTTCATTCAAATTCATTTTCTTTGTAATTGAATATTACCTACATTAGCAGATTTGAAACATGTTAACAAAACTGATAAAATTATAATAATATCAACAACAAAAAAAAAAATTAAATAAAAAAAAAATTACTGTACATAAAAATTACACATAATAGCTCTTATGAAGAATATCTTGTATTTAACAAGATATGCATTTACGGGTAATTTGGGATGATGAAATAATTTGCAAACTTTAAATATGTCACGTTATTTAAGTAGGGTATTTTGGGCCTCAGAAAAATTAACCCTATGTTCGGTTGGAAAAAAAAAAATTAAATGGAACGGGGAAGAAGGGATGGATAAAAGCATCTCCAAACATTGTGTATATATATATATATATATATATATATATTTTTGTGTAAATTTGATCTGTCAATTATATATTTTTAGCTCAAACGGTTGTTTTATACATTTTTTGTAAAAATACAGTCCCCAATAACAACCCACCAGTGTTATGTCTAGACCCCACATAATTTTTATAAACTTACCTAATATAAAGTTGATTTGTGAATGAAATAAGAAAGAAGGAGGGAAAAGGAAATATGCTAATGTGACTGTATAAAAAGGTTGGAGACATCGATGACGTTGTAGTGTATCTTAACATACTGGTGAAGATAAAAAAAATAAAAAAAAAATTACATATTATATTTACACAAAATAGTGTTTTAACAAGGGCGGAGCCAGAAATAAAAAGTTGCGAAGAAAATGGAGAGAAGAACATGTGACAGTCGATAAATGAGGTTGTCAAATTAAAATATTTTTAATTCATAACAAACAATCTGTGTGAGCAGCGTGCGCTTGTATGTATGCATATAGTAGTATATAATAATAAAATTGAACATTGTATGAAGAACAATATGAATAGAATACTCATATGTCACGTCAAAATTGCAATATTAACTTTTCAAAAAAAAAAAAGGATTGGTTAGACTTTGAGGAATTGTAAACTATCTTTAATAACCATAAATAAGTAACAAAATTAAGTATTTTTTGAAAATTTGGAAGGCCAATTTTAATTTTTCTATAGTAAATTATCATTAATAATTATAAATATTCACTATTAATAGAAATTACAGAAAATTTTGAGGGGGGTCAATTTAAATTTTTCTATACCAAATTATCTTTAATAATTATAAATATACACCACTAATAGAGGTTACAAAAAATTTTGGGGTTCCATGGCACCCCTGACCCTTCTTCCCTCCGCCAACTTTTAACAGATTGTTAGATTTGCTCTAAAATATCTCTAGATAAGAGATTGTGTATTTTTTTTTGTTCGGATGAATGGAAGAGAAGAGAAAAAACCAATAATTTATAAGATAAAGTTTTAATTGTTTTACCATTATGTCTAATAATATTTATAATGTTGTAACATATAAAGGATAAAATTATAATTTAAAACTTATATAATTTAATATAATATTTAATTTAAAATTTTTATAATAATTTACTTATCTTCTCTTTCTCTTTCAGGGGTGAAAATTTTTGTTTTCTCTCTGCACTCCTTCCATCATTCCTACTAAACATAGCATAAATGGGATATGCTATACTTAACATTTTTTAAAATCCAAAATGCTATATTTAGCATCGAACATCCATAGAATGATTTATTAATAAAATAATAATAATAATAAGTGCCCACTAGTCAGGTCTAAATTAGCACAATAATTTAAGTGATAGAGACAAATGAAAAAGAAAAGCTTACATATTATAAAAATTAAAATAATAAGAAACGACTTTAAAATTTTGATTATATAAGCAGACATAACTTGTCGAGAGAAATTATGACGAGAGCAATAGTGATGACTGATGACCCATTTAGTCCAAATAACACTGGATCAAATAAATACATGGATTTTAACTATAAAAAAAAATAATAAATAAATAAATAAATACATGGATGAGAATCATATACTGTACTTATATTGGTTTTTAAAACATAAAAAAAAAAAAAAAAAAAACGATTTAATTAATTGTAGTTATAATAACATATTGTAACAATTTGAAAATATTAAGTAGCATACAAATTTGAAACTCGAAACGTCCTGTCCACTGGAGAGGAGAGAGAGAGAGAGAGAGAGCTGAATCGAGTTCGCATCTCTATCCCTCACAATTCAAAAACCTAAAACCCTAGATTTCAAATCAGAGATTATTTATCAAACCGTAGATTTCAAAATCAGAGATTATTTATCACTACTGATCTTAGAAATCCCAAAATTAGAGCTCAAAAGCCTGGATTTTTCTTAAATTTTCCGAGAGAGTTACTTACATTTAGTCGGTTCTAGGGTTGATAGGGACCTGACATCAAAAGATTTAATTTCAAGCTCTCGATTTGAGTTTGATTTGCCGGTTCAAGAAAGATGAGTAGCAAAAAGGCAGAAGAGCGAAACGAGAAGATAATCAGGGGTCTCATGAAGCTTCCGCCCAATCGAAGATGCATCAACTGTAACAGCTTGGTAAATTTTCTCCAACTCTCTTTTTGTTTTTCCATCTTGATTTCTTCTGTTTCTGTTTTTATTTATTTATTTATTTTTTCTAAACTGTTTTCAATTTCGTATTGGAAGCTTTATATCTACTATTCGGTTGGTTGCTGAAAAAAAAAAAAAAAAGAACAGCGGAAGGATTGAAGATTAATTTTGAATCATACACATCCTTTTAGTTTTGGTTGTTTTAATTTAAAACATTTTGAAGGCAAAATATTAACCGAGAAAAGAGTAAGTTTCTGGTATGAAGCCGTTTTAAGATTTCCATGAGACTCAACTTCAAGAATATATATATATATATATATATATATATATATGCATGTATGTATATATATACCATTTCAGAAACAATAAAACCCAAAATTGCAAAACTCCACTCAATTGAGCATAGAACTGTTTGTCTCAGTCGACACGAGTTCCTGTGTCTTCATTATTATTATTATTATTAATTTCTTTGAAAACTCAAATTTAAGGATCAAACTCTGTTGTGTGATTTATTTAGTGATTAATAAGCAGACGGAGTGTTAACATTAATTCTGGTTTTCACTAACAGTGTCTCAAAATTTTCACTTTTTGCCCTTTTTTTTTTTTTTCTTCTTTTTTTTGGGTCTTTTTTTAAATTAGTTTTTCCACTGTTCATTTTTTTTTTCCCGTAATGAAATTTTACTTTGAAGAACACTTAAAAAAATAATAATAATAATAATTATATTCATAACTTCTGTTTTTGTCTGTGCAGGGACCACAGTATGTTTGTACAAACTTCTGGACCTTCATTTGTATGACATGCAGTGGAATACAGTGAGTATATTCATTATCTGATTATGTTATAAATTTATAATTTGGATGGGCATGCTTATGAAAAAGAATGTCCGCATTCAGCTGTTGAATTTATTCTCTAGGTTAACATTTTATTTGGTAAGTTTTTATGGTTTGATCGGTGATATTTATTTTATATAGCTCTCTGAGTTATAAACAAAATTCACTTTCATAAAACTAGAAAGAGAAGTGTTTTAAAAAGTAGATTTGGGGAAATCAAGGGTGAAGCAGGAGTTCTAGATAAGGCCTTCCGAGAGCATGTACTCTGAAGGACGATTCCGTTTAGGAAATGTAGTGAGTGTGAAGCTGGTGACCTTATATAAGTCATTATTGCGTGCTTGAGGTGAAGGTACCCGAAATCAAGCAAGTGTACCAATACATTGTAAGTAATATAATGAATGTTTACGCGATTAAGTAATGGAAAGCATACAAGCCTACCAATATTTATTGTTTGTGTAACTTCAATTACCATTTAAGTGATTTTCAAATTAGTAATTTTGTTTATTTATTTTTGGTTTATTAGCATATTATTGTTAATTTCCTGCATCCTTTCAAAACCTATTATGTGGACTGAATATGGTCTAATTTTAGCGCATTTGAAAGAATGATCCATCGTAGGCTATTTAAAATCGACAAGCATTTAGTAATTTATTTTATTAGTGCAGTGTAATACTTGACATCATGAACCAAAAGTTACAGATCTTCGGGAGTTACTGTGACTGCTAAAGAGAATACTTCATATTGATGGTAAGAAGTGGGATTGCTGTTTTGGTGAGGTCTAAACCTGCTGGAGCTTCTCCTTTAGCAGCTTGAAAGGAGTACTCAATTGTGTTCATGAAACAAGGACACAGTGTGGTTTGGTGTTAGAGACCCTATGGTTGGTTCTCACTATACTGTTTCAAAGTGCTAATCAGTTTCCATAGGATTGTGTTCACTGTTGAAACGTGGCAAGTAAGTTTATGCACATGGTCTTGAAGCTCTCGCATGGTTATAGGATTTCTTTGCCATAACAAATTACCAATTTAAATAGTAATTCAGGTCAGATGAAATGTCGAACGTGTAGCATTTTCTGATAACAGTGCTTGTTAGACACAGCTACATGCTTACTGGAGCTGTTGGATCACAAAGGTTTAATAAGGGTAAGGCGCTTGTTTAATATTAATGTCGTAAACCAGATGGAGAGTTTAGTCATTTGTCACTGATTCATGACCTAGGAAAGTCAATATCAGCTTTTAGAAGCTTTGTGTTCCATAAATGAAGTTCGGTTTAGAATATTTTTTGACATTTATCGGCCTAGTATGATAATCTGAAATAGAAAAGGAAAGGCTCGATTTATGTGTTGAATGTTGAATTGTTGATAAACCAAACAATCTTTTGATCTTTTTAATTTTATTTTATGAAAGTTCTTCAAAGTTCACCGTTATCAACATGTATCTTTTCTTTGTTTCCAAAAATATTATGTGGTATATTTGAAAATGTATGTGTATGACTGTTTAGTTGAAGAAAATAAAATCAATCATAGGATCACTCAAGTGACATCTATAATACATCATAATGTGGACCACCACCGCCAACAACAACAACAATCAAGCCTTTTTTTCCCAATTACTTGGGGTCGGGTACATCATAATATGGACCCTTTCCTATAATTCTGAATTGATCATTGTAATGCATCTGAGTACTCACAATAACTTCTGTGGCATCTCTCCCCTTTCCTACTATCTTCGGGGTCCAAATTGTATTGTCGTAGATCTATTGGTTGAGCTTGGCCGAGATGCAGATTTTTGTCACTTTAAAACTTCACTGTTTATTATTATTATTTGATACGTAAAACTTCACTGTTTTTAACGGGTTAACATTTTATGCGTTGCAGTCGTGAGTTCACTCACCGTGTGAAGTCTGTATCCATGGCTAAGTTTACTTCCCAAGAAGTCGAAGCTCTACAAAATGGTGGCAATCAGGTACAAATTGTGTTTAGTCTTCTCTATTTGGTAGCAGGGTTGCTTATTTGCTTGTAAGACATCTACTCGTTTCAGCGTGCACGGGAAATATTTTTGAAGGATTGGGACTCACAGAGACAGAGATTGCCTGACAACAGGTGTAAATGTGTGACTGGTTGCTCTTGGTGCTAAATGATTTGAATATTGCAAATATGGAAATCGTATCTTGTACGTTGCAATATGAAAACTTACGTCGTTTTCTTGCAGCAATGTTGATAAAGTTCGTGCGTTTATAAGGAATGTTTACGTGGATAGAAAATATGCTGGGGGAAATACCTCTGAAAAACCTCCAAGAGACACCCAGGCAATATATTCCTAAACCACATCTATCTATGAATATTTTCTTTGAGCTTACTATCCATACCATTGTCATTATCTTTTCCTTCACAGATATTTCACTTACAGCCGAGAGTTTTTCATTAATGAATTTGGCAGAACCTTAGAAACCATGAAGATGAGACAAGACGAGCCAGTTCATATCATTCTTATTCTCAAAGTCCACCATACGATTATCAGTATGAAGATCGGCGGTATGGGAAACACGCTCCTGCTCTTACTAGAAAGCCTGGTTCAGATCGAGGCCTCTATGAAGCGAAAGTCTCAGGTTTCTTAAGTCCTAGTCGTTTGAGCGACCAAATGTACGAAGACAGGTTTGCAAATGAGGGATTAAATTCCAGATTCTCAGACTATTCAGCATCCAGTGCAGGTGATCCATTCAGGTCTGGTGCCCAGTCACCAACTCTTCAAAGAGACATTGGATATAGCAGTCCTTCTAGTCAAAATTCAAGGGATATCTTAAACGATGATGTGCGATATCAAACAATGAATACATTCTTAGAGGCAAACACTAAAAGGGATACAAATGGGCTTCCATGTCCACAGGTTGTTACCTGCTTATGTTTCTGATGAAATTCAAGTTACATTCAACAATATGATACCCTTGGAGTCTATACTAAGCATTTATCTTGATTAAACATTCATAGGGATGTACAATATAATGCATGAATTTTTGTATTTGGTGCTCCTAACTCATATTGACCTAAGACTAATCCTTAGTTTCCTACAATTGCACGTGATCACTGCCCACATTCCTAAGCCATTGCCTCACAACCAATTTGGCTACCTGTGCAGGTTTATACTTGCTCCTTTTTTTGACCTCTTAGAATTTTAAAGAAACAGATATCTATAAATTTTATATGTCCTGAAAAATTATTTTGTGTTTTAAAATTGAAAAAGCTTGAAAGTGAACATCCCCGCACCTAATGGTATCAATGAGCTAATATTTTGTGTTTTGACCTCTCTATGAAATCAGTTGTTACTTCATTGAATTTGCTTCATTGCATAGCTATGCTTGCGATTTGACCTTGATCATTATGGACATATCCTCAATGCCTGTCTTCATATTCTTCTACTACATTCTAAAATGACATTCTTCCCTTGGATTACTGATGGAAGTTTGATTGTTGCAATGATGAGCTAAAATAGTTGTATTCAGAATGCTTATTCTCCAATGGTTTTTTTTTCTTTTTTTTGAAAGAATGATTATTCTCAATGATTGTTATTGAGTTATTTTTTTCGTTACTTTAAAAAACAATATTCCTTCCCTAGATCTCATACATATAAATACTAAATATTGGGTAATGAAGTATATTAATTTTATTTGAGCATATATAATAGATCCTTAACAACATAAGTAATAACCATACGAGTAATAGTTACCAAGTACTAAGTTATTAACTGATAAAAATATGAATCTATAATGTTAATACCTTAATAACTAATATAAAGTACTAAGTAAAAGTACTAAAAAAAAAAAAGCATTAAGTTTTTAGTTAAAAAAAAAATGCATCAAAAATCATCTAAATCTCAAATTTATGGGATTCTGGGGTTTCAATCACGTTCATCAGTGTTATTTGGGGTACTTGTGTAACCAAAATAAAAAATCACGGCTCTGGTATCTGTGTCTGTTACACTCCGTGACTGCAACCATTTTAAAACCATTGGAAATTTAAACTTACTGTCTGCTCCTTGGCCATGTGTGTTTACTTTGTGTTATAGGCTTTGTTTCTTTGTTTCTTTGTTTCATTGACAGTGTCTTTCACTTATCACCTGATGTTGTGTTACCCTTTTATTTAGAGAATTAATCATTTGATGTTGTGTTACAGCCTTATTTCTTCATTTTATTGGTAGTGTTTTTTCACCTTTATATCAACTGACATCAGATTACCCTTTTATTTAGAGAACTGCATCTTCAAGCAGCTTTGGATCATTTGATGGCAACTCCATGTCGCTCAAGTCAGTTAATTCTGTTAATTCAATGGATGTTGCTTCAGGACCTCAACAGTCTGCTGGTATCCAGCAGGATAAACTGTCTACTTTTCCCACTTTACCACAATCAGCTGTATTTGGGAATTTTGGTGGCTTGGACCTCTTTGATGCGCCATCCGCACCACAAACTGTCTCTTCTTCAGCTCCAGCAACGGATTTGTTTCAGTTGTCAGAGACATCATCAACTCCACCTATAGATTTGTTTCAACCATCCCCCATTCCTTCAGTTTCAACTTTGAATGCACATCAACCTTCCAAAAGTTCTACACCGTCATCTTTAGACTTGTTCTCTGAGATTCCTCAGCAGCAGTCGGCTGCAACCTTGGATAAAAAATCACCGGATCTTGTTATGCCAAAAAATGAAGGGTGGGCAACATTTGATGTACCTCAGCACATGGCATCTAATGTGGGTATTGAAAATTCTACCCCTGCAGTAATACCTTCTTCTGACGGAGGTCCTCCTGGAAAGTTTGACCCACTTTTGTCCCAAAATACGAGCCTGCAGTGGCCATCATTTCAAGATTTTAATGCTCGTAGACCTTCTGTATCAATGTCTAATCCATGGAATGAGGGCGTGCACAATGTTAAAGCCTCCCTTGGTGCGATGGGCACTCAGGTAAGCAATTTAGCCATCTGGATGTCTCATAATTTTGTTATAAGAAAGTGAGATTTATTAAGAAAGATTTCATTTAGTCATTGGTGATTTGATTTAGTTTAAATCCTAGTTATATAGTTGCATGGAATCAGCAATTGATTTTTGTTTATTGGCAATTTGAATAAATAATTAAAGTGTTTGAACCAATCCTAAGTTCCTAATCATATCTCTGAGCAGTCATGGAATGCCTTTGAAGATTCAATTGGACAACCACCTCTTGGGGGTATTCAACAAAGTAGGGAGCAAGTTGCAATGCACAAGTCGTCAACTGCTGATCAGTATTTGGGCTTGGGAATATCAGAGGTTGCTAGATTTTCCTGAACATGCTAAACAATGTGTTGGTTGCTTCTACTTATTTTTGAGCTGTTCACTTTTCAGGACTTAAATAAAAATGGGATTCAAAGAGCTGTCTTGGATAATGGACCTCCTTTTCCTAGTGTACCATCGCATGTTAGTGGGTCAACATATTCTTCATCAGCACTTCCTCTAATGGTTTGTACTTTTGCCTTGCTTCAGCCTTGTGGTAGGCTTTTAACCACTCTTTTTATCCTAAGTGACGTTGCTCTTCTTTCCTGTTTGAATAATGACTTTGTTTTGTTCACTTTTAACAGGAAGGAGCACATTCCCAGTCACATGCAACTGATCACATATCAACCAACCCATTCGACCTTCCATATGATTCCGGTTTGGAATCTAACAATGCGGTATGTTGCAGTACTTGTTTTTCGCATTAAAAGTTTGACACTAATACTATCACCCCACACAGGCAGGACAAGCACTGGGCCAATGGCTTTTTTCACACTTTTCTTTCAGTTTTTTCATTTTGTTTTGTTTTTTTTTTTTTTTTTAAAATCCGAAGTTGTAGGTGTTTATGTGATGATGGCCTGTCTTGAATCATTCTATAAGATAATAGTAATTGAGAAAAATGCTTGAGGAGTCATTAGAATTATTTTCAAAGTTGTACAAATTATTGTAGTATCAAATTAATGAGTCATGCTATGTAAATTGTAAAGAGAGTATTTAAATAACAATTAAGGTGTGAAACTATAGTGTAAGACAATCAGCTTGGACTTATGTCAGAAAATCAACAGCGGAAGCTATTTACTGAGGAGATTAATGAGAAGTTATCAAAAGAAAAAGAAAGATCTCTACATTTTTTAAAATAGATTTGGAGAAATCCTAGGATTAAGGTCCTGAAGATATAATATGGTTAGATTTACCAACGGGCCAATGCCTAGCGGTATCAGCCTCTTACTTCTCAAAGGGAGGTCAAAGGTTCAAGTCTCAATCGAGACATGCATGTTAAAAAAAAGGTTAGATTTAGAAAAGAATCGTGTTACAAACTTACAAATAGATATACTGACATGTATGATCGAATTGTGTCCATAGTAAGCATAATTGTGGTACAAAAATGCCAACAGGCCACTGGCCTAGCGGTACCTAGTCCTTACTTCCTAAGGGGAGGTTAGGAGTTCAAGCCTCAGTGGAGGCATGTTTGTGTGGGTACTAACTAAGAAAAAAAAAAAAAATTTGTGGTACAAAAATTGAATTTCCAATTACTGTTTGTTTACGTCAAGGATCTGCATTAACTCCATATTTATTGCCTTTGTTGTGGATGAACCAACAAAAACATTCAAGATGATTTTTCATGATATATGCTATTTTGGATGATATTATCTTTATTGATGAAACTAGAGCACAAGTGCTAACTGGGGTGTGCCACTGTAATGTTGCTTTTCTGAAGTTGTTATATCTGGCCAATCATCATGTCTATGTGGTTACCCACGTGGATATTGCTTACAATGTAAGCGTTACTAGGCTGTTATCACCACACCAAATCGATTCAGGAGGAATGTGGTTGGACTAGGTAGCCAATGTCAATTCGGTTATTTGGCTGTAGTTATATTGCTATGCTTAGTATTAAGCATCGTTTTGCTTTTCATTTCTATTTTAATTTTGTTCCGTTGTATCTTCAATTGCAGTTCTTGGATATGACCTCTCTGCAAGCTGCACTGCCAAATGCCCAGACGCCACCTGCCTTCCTTGATGGTTTAACTCAGCCATGGTTTCCTCAAAATCCAGCTACACCTTATATTCCAAATGCACCACAAGGTAAGCCGTATTTGATTCTTCCCGTGAAATTTAACATCTGTTTAACCATTCTTGTTGTCCAGTCTGACGTTGGCATGACTCTTAGGTGCCTTAGGATTAATGGCAGGGCAATCACCAGGCACTCAATTAGTGTAAGTTGTTTCCTTATTACTATGTTGTAGATTGTCTAAATGAAATATTCGTGATCATAGTCTTTTTTTATCAATGTTTTAGTTATCATCATGATTCATGCTGAATAGGAACATCTCCACTTTCCAGGCGCATAGTTTTTGAGCCCCTCTATTAGCTGTAGTTAGAAGTTGGCCAGTTGCAGATTATGATTTATTTAATTATATATATATATATATATATTCTCTCTTCAGTGCCGTGTGTGCATGTCTGTATATATATATATATGTATATTTTCTTTTTCGAATTGATTTGACTGATTGATTCTCATTAACGTGTGCTGTGACCACAAACTTGCTCATGATAACACACAATATAGTAAAAAACTGCCATCATTTCACAAATGAAACAGTTAGCACTAAAGTGCTCCTCTCTTTTCCTGTAAAATGGTGAAAACATCCTCTGGTCCAGTTGTTTGGAGCCCTTTGATTTGCAACAGGCTGGTAAGTGCAACCACTAAAGAAAAAAATAATCATGGAGGATATATGTTTCCTAGGCTGAACCAAGTCAATCAACTATGGCTTAGTTCTGTTCAACTGAGAAAATATTGTGGTAATATATAATGTTTTGGATCATTAAATGGCGGGACCAATTCGATTATTCTTTCCACTCCCACTCCTGTCTATTACTAATGGTTAGTAGAGGATCACTGAATATGTGGAACTCAACTTCCTGATTTGTTGAAATTCGAAGTGTCTATTATTAGTTTGTAAAGGATAACTGAATGTATAAAGAATCAGTTGACTCCACATTCAAGGCATAGATGTTCTCTTTGTTGAGACATGTTGCTCCATAGGTGGAAAAGAAATGCTAAAATGGACACACCTGTTTACGGGACAGAGAGGCCTGAGGGTAGTTTTCTTTTTGTGGTTTTCTAGTAGATTTAATGGTGTCTAATGCACTTAAGGGAAACAAAGTCATGAATTTGCTTCATATTAAAAAATGATTACATTTACGGTTTTAGTTGGTTCCATCTCCTGTGTTAACATCATGCTAAATTTGCAGGAATGGTCCGACACAAGGCCCTGTTGCTTCTGTTGGAGGAAATCCTTTTGCGTAGGATTCACTTGTGTATTCATTTCTCTTTGGTCGGTATTAGAAGTTTCCTAGGGACTTTTCTAGGTTTTGCCTTGTCTCTTTCATACATTGTAATCCAAATATTTTATGGCTCTATTCATGTCTGTATTCTTCGTGAAATAAAACGTTGGTGTGGAAAATTTTCATTCAGTCTGCTGTGCCCATGAATTTTATGGTACTTTGCATCGAATTGAAGCCTCGGATTAGTAGCTGAAGCATGAGGTAACAATAGTGATGTTCTTGTTAATGTAGAGAAACTGTTTGCGGTAATTGTTCTTCTGGTGGGTTGAAGTTGTGGATGTATTTAGCTTTTGACAATCCTCCAGACCCAAAGTTTTGGTGTTACTGTTTTACTTTCCCTTCATTAGAGCAAAGCCCTTGGTCTTTTGAAGTGGAACTTAAATCCTCTCCAGGAGATGGTTTTTTAGTATTATTAATTTTTTAATTTTTTTTTGGTGCATAAAAGTTAAAAATCATAAGCATTTTGTAAGAATTTTTCATCCCCTTTTTATCTTATAATTTCTTCACCTCCATTTAATTTTTATTCTTCTAGAAAGGCATGAATGAGAGAATTCTGTAATTTGTAAAATGGAAAGATGGAGTTTTTAACATAACAAAAAATTTCAAAATTTTTAGATGATCTAAAAAAAATAAAAATTAAAATGAGAGATGGAAGCGGTAGAAAAAATTTTGGTTGATGATTTTTTGAAAATTGATTTCAAGAAACAAGAGAAGAGAGAAAAGAAAAATCGCATATACACTAATACGCATGGCTCATTTGGTGCTTCCCATATCCAGGGTCTCCCTCTCTCTCTACTTTTTCTGCTTCCCATATCCAGGGTCTCCCTTTCTCTCTCTACTTTTTCTCTCCCCTCTCTCCAGCCCTCAGCGACCCCTTCGCTCTCTCCATCTGTTTGCTCCCTACCCCCTCATCTGATTGCTCCCTACCCCCTCCCATGGGAGTGGGGAGGTGCCGATTCCCGCCTTTCACCGCTTAATAAATTTTACGTATTGTAAATAGTTACTCAGTGGGTGAGTTTTTACGACCTTTTTTTTGCTTTTTTTTTTTTAATTGTTTTGTTAGATCTGCTCCTGTTAGGCTTGTTTCTGGCTTGACGGGGTAGATTTGCTTTTCATCTCCGGTTAGATTTCTGATCTATGTCGGATTTTGTTATCCCCGCCTCTATGTGGGTTTTGTTGTCCCAGCCTCTTATTCGGGGTTTAGGGGATTCCCGTCGGCGGCATCTTGCGAATGCAATCTTGGAGCAGTTGCCTTGACGATACCCTGACTCGTGAGTCACTTCAGTTGCTGCTTTCCTTCCTTGATGGTTTCCGCTGTTATATTGTTTCTCAGCAAATCTGGAGCCCGTTCTTTAGTTTTTTCTTTTATTGCTTCATGATTTGTTTGTTTTTGTACGGCCATTTATGACGCTCTTTGTAGATGTCATATGGCTTTTTTCTTATTGTTAGGATTAAATAAATAAATAATAATAATAATAATAATAATAATAATAATAATAATTTGGTGCTTCCCATAAGCACGATATAGAGATCCGCTCTTTAAAATTAGATATATTTATAACATAAAACAATATTACAAAAACCTCTTGCAGAACTTTTTTATTTTTATTTTTTTGTTTTCTTTTACATGAGAACGTTTGAAAAAAAAAAAAAAAAAACAAAATTAAGAAAAAAAAAAGAAAAGAGTTTGATTTGTAATTATGAAAATAATTTTTATTTTCAAAAACTAAAAAATTATATAAAAAAATTTCGTTTGGTTCAATTTTTTTAAAATTATTTTATAAAAATTCAGTTATAAAAATGTCTATTTTTCAGAAAATTATAAATTCTAATAATAATTTTTAAAATTTTTGAAAACTATTTTCAGAATTATTTTTTTAAAAAAAATTCTATTATCACCCACACCTCTAAAAATAGAAAAATAAAATTAAAATAGTGCGCAGCTGAGCTACCAGAACTCGTAATAAAATTACTCCATTCAATTATAGGGTTTATTATAAATACCAATACGTGCTCGGTTCGGTTGTGATGTCCGGTTCTACACTTCAACTCGATAATTGTTGATAGATAGAGCGGTACGAAATATAACGCTCCAGTAATTAAGGATGTCATTTCTACCGGACGAGCTTTGGAGACGAATATTAGAGATTGGAGTCCAAAACCCTAATTCAGTACTGACCTTCAAAGATCTCTGTTGCCTTTCCATCTCTTGCAGACGCCTCGATCGATTGTCCAGCGATGATCTTCTCTGGTCCGTTTTACTCTCTTCTGATTTCCCTCAAACCCAAGATTCATCACGTTCTTCTTCTACCTCATCATCATCAACCAATTCTTCATCCAAGACCCTCTATAAGATCAGGTAAACAACTTTTCTCTCTCTCTCTCTCTCTCTCTATACTTATATATATTTTTATTTATTCGAAAATTCTGTTTTGTTTGATTTTTTTATTGTGTGATTGAATTGGGGTTTACTGATTGATTGTGAAATGCTGTTTGAATTTTTTTGAACAATATTCAATTAGGTTTGAGATAGAAAGAGAACGAAAACGGTTAGTCCATCGAAGGGCTGTTTTCAGAATAGAGAGTCAGATTCTCGAGCACTCCAGGAAACTTCGACAGATACGGGTTCGGCTAGCAGAAGAGAGTGAGAAAATGAAGACTGCAGTCGCAGAGTTATCAAATTTACACAAAGTCAGGTAATGATTATTATTATAACATTTTTTTTGCATTTTTTTTTTTTTTTTTTGCATTTTTTCTATGTGGATCATCGTTAATATGCAGTTTTTATTGTTGTAGCTATATAAAATACTTGGTAATTAATTTAGAATTTTTTCTAGAGCTTTTAATTTATACATGGTTGATATGGAGTGATATGTTTAAAATTGAAATGTTAGAAAAAAAAAAATTATGCTCTCTGTTGGTGGATTTTGAAGTTCAGTGGTGAAGAAAATGGGAAGAGGGCATCCAATAGCTTTGTGTTCTTTGTCCTTTTCTCCATGAAATTGACGAAAACAAAAGAAAATAAATTTTGGAAATTTTGGGTCTCCAAATTTTTTTTTTTTGTTTTGAAAAACTCACATCAACTAATGAAATCTAAGACATTCTCCCTGCCTTTGGCATCCATGAACCGAATAGCCTTTTTCCTATATGAATGGGTTGGCCAACTGAATTGCATATAGCATTATAAATTATATCTGTTATTTGAAAATCGATTGCGTCTCAAAATAAATGGTTCCTATAAATTTATGTATGTTGTTTAGAAGATCAGGAACTTTCCAGCTCAATGATGAGATTTTATATTTGGTTTGATCCCATCAGGCAAGCTTCAGTGGCATTGAAAGTGTGGCAGCCAGAATTTATACGTGGTAGGCAAAAACAAATAGTTGAGCAGTGTGCTGTGCCTGCTGATTCTCGAATAAATGCGCTTGAGATGGAACTTAGGCTTTGTAAGCAGCAGAGTGTAGTATTCAATAAGAATTATGTAAGAGTGAATGTATTGTTGTATGGTAGGATGCTTCGTTCACCAAGTTTAGTGGAAAGTTTTATATAATATCTATGATGCTTGTATATGATGCAGAGAGATGAAAAGAAAAGGCTTGATGCAGCAAAGGAACAGTTGGAGTCGTTAAAGTATCACCCATTACGAGATTTTAACTTGACTAGTGGAGGGATTGGTGAATGTGGCATCAAGAAAAGAAAGTTGAAAAAATGCGTAGACTGTGTAAGGTTCTGATGTCCTCTATATTATGCAGTAAATTTTTGTTTGTTTGCTGTATTTTTTCACTACCTTGTTGTTGGTGAAGAAAAGCATCAAGGATGCTTTTAAGGACTGAAACTGTTTTTTTTTTTTGGAGAACCTTGCCTCGAATCAGAATCTTCTTTTAGTAACTACATAATCTTTTGAGAAAGCATTAAATTTGGATGAAAGCTCAGCATTAGTAAATATGGTGGGAAGGGAAAAAAGAAGAAGGTGATATTGAAGTGATACCAGATGAGTGCAGGAAATAACTTTCCCGTGACCCTTTATACCAAGCCGGTGTGTGATATCTTCAGGAAACTTGGATTTATGCTGCCTACTGATGGTTTAAGGTGGGTTTTCACTGTGGAAACCTTGTAGAATAGGGTTCCAATAGGCAGAAGAAAGATAGTGGGGTTCTAAAATAAAAAGAAGGTTAGAAATGGCTTGGTCTTAGAAGTGTGAAAGTTTGCAGGTATTGTAAAAAAGTTGTGCGAGAAAAGATTGATCAGGGCAGAAAGGATTTTTTTGGGTTTTTCTTACTAGACTAAACACCAAAGTTTGGGAACTGTCTTAGGATTGATCTGTGCTGGTTATGTTGAGTTTTGGGACTGAAATAGGGTCTGTGTTTCTCATGCGAATTTCAACTTGATTATATAGCTGAACCAAGTATTTAACATTTTAAGTTTTTTGGTTAATCAATGTCTAACATGTTTCAGAGGAAAATAGCTAATCTTTTTACCATAATCTCTATGGCTTCATTTGGCTAGATGAAAATAGCGAGAAAGGAAAAGAAATGGAAATCTTTTTAAGGGAAAATAAATTTCCATAACCACCTAGTTATCTCATAAACTTTCCTCAAAAAATAATAATAATAATAATAATAATAATAAACACAAGAAACTTATCAAAATAATAATAATAATAATAATAGTAAACACAAGAACTTGTACAAAATTAATTTTTTAGATTCTTTATTGCTTTTATTCCTTAAAGAAGACCAAATATATATATTTGGTAAAAAAAATTATTTACAATAATAGTGAGGAGGTAAATGATCCAATCCTTTACCGACACATTATCTTTAGTTAGATATACATATCACTTCCATAATCCAGAAAAAAATTAGTCACCTTTTATTCTTTTTTATTTTTATTTAATATATTGACAAATAAAAATGATGTGTCAGTATAATAAGATTGGGCCACGTGTGGTCAAAAGAGAGTACCTACTCACTGGTGAGGACCTAAGGATTGTCCAAAAAATCTTTGGACCTATTATCCTTTTTAATAAAATAAGGGAAATTTACCTACCCACCGGTGAGGACCTGAGTATTGTCCAAAAATTCTCATGGTGTGTTGAGTTGTTCTGTGGAAACTGCACCGGTCAATTTCATATTTACTGAGTAATATAGAAAATGAGTCTGTCTTATGTTTTCAAAGAATTATATGGTCTTATGTTTTCAAATAATTATATGGTCTTTTGTTTATGGGATTGAAGATTTCAATTCTTGAGCTCAATTTTACCCCACTGGATGGGTTTTATGGTGGTGGTTTCTCCACACTTCAGTATATTATTTGTTCAAAGGGTAGCAAATACTGTCGACTTAAAAAATCATATCATCGGTGAGAGCCTGAAACGCTCCAAACGTCTGCCTCAACGCCTCTTCTTTCTCTCTACTGGACTTCACTTGCATAGACCCTCATTTTATTTTTGTTTTTATTTTTTATTTGTATTTTATATATATATATATATATATGTTTGGTAGTCCAACGACCATAACACTCTTCCGAGAGGAAGCTTGGACTGCACTTTTGTTTATCTTCATCTTTTGTTGTCTTCATTGTTTGCCTCAACGCCTCTTCTTTCTCTTTACCCTTATTTTACTTTTGTTTTTTATTTTTTTATTTGTATTATATATATACATGTGTGTGTGTGTGTTTGGTAGTCCAACGACCATAACACTCTTCTGAGAAGAAGCTTGGACTGCACTTGTGTTAATCTTCATCTTTTGTTGTCTTCATTGTGTTTGGCAATCCAACGACCTGGAGGCTCTCCCTTGTGTAATTTTGCTGTGAGATGAAATTTAATGTTTGAATTGTTCTGCCTTCAACCTTTTCATTTTAGCAGTGCTTTTATGTATTCAAATCCTGAATCTTAGCTAAGGTTACGTGAATTTTACCATTTTCACGAAATCTTTAATCTCTCCATCTTTTTTTTTTTTTTTCAATTATTATTGTTTTCTGCCATCTTCATGTGTTTCTTTTGGATGCAAAAAGAAATTAGTAAACTTGTTATTGTTTTTTGGCCCAGCTCATATGAAACAAGGCAAAACATCATATGGATAGGTTGCCTAATGGAAGAATTTAGTACGACCTTTTCTCAATATCCCCTGGTGTGCACATTGTGAGCGGATGCTGGACTTGTACTAGGTCCATGTTCTGCCTTGAAGCGTGCGGTCCAAACAAGTATAATTGCTGACGGTGGTATCTAACAGTTTCAAGTTGATGACGGGGTTTCTGACAGTCTTTGTTTCAGGCTAAGACGTCAGGGAGAGCTCTGACGGGAAAGAGAAATAAAGTCGTTTAGTTTGATTATCAACCTATTCTATTTCGGATCGAAGATGTATACATGTATTTGTAATATAGAGGATGGATCGTGAAGTGGTGAGAGTGTTGGTTATGTCATTCCCTCCTTTACTGTAATGAAACTTATGCAAGTACCCAAGAACGTGGTAGTAGGGATAAACGGGCTGCTTAGCCTGGTCCCCCACCCGGTTTGAACTTTATCTGACCGATCCTGGCTGGTCATAAACACGTAAATGAAGGCCAAAGATTGTGGTGCAGTTCATCCTCATGTCACATTTAAGCTTTTTGTATCATATCTGTGCTTTTATGGTGAGCCTGAATCGTCCACTCGTAAGGCCTTTCTAGAACTGTTTTAAAGTGATTCCTATTTATAATGGTTATATAATAGAACTGTTTTGAAGGCCAAAGATTGTGGTGCAGTTCATCCTCATGTCACATTTAAGCTTTCTGTATCATGTCTGTGCTTTTATGGTGAGCCTGAATCGTCCACTCGTAAGGCCATTCTAGAACTGTTTTAAAGTGATTCCTTTTTATAATGGTTATATAATAGAACTGTTTTGAAGCCCAAAGATTGTGGTGCAGTTCATCTTCTTCTTCTTTTTTTTTTTTTTTTTTGGGGTTTAAAACAATTCAGGTAGAATTAGCATCTTGTGTCAATATTACATCACTTTGTATAATGCTTATATAATATAACTATGCCTGGCTTTTAATCGTATGATGTGCGTTTGGATGTTTGAGTTATAAAGTTTTATGACACTTTGTAGCTAGTCTGTATTATTTGCTACACCTCAATCTTTCAAAGGAAACAATTACATTTACAGTTTCTGGATTAAGTCTTTCTGGGTATAAGCTCATAAGTCATTACTTGTCTTAAAACTAGGTGAACTGAAACATTTGTGCGAAATCAACTAAAGAACAAAATTGTTAATATAAAAGACATTTTTCTAAAATTAGTTTTTTTTTATTATTTTAAATGAGCTTTTATAAAACAATTCTTAAAAACTAATCCAAGTAGATTTTCGTATTTTTGTATTTTTAATTGTCAAAAAATTGAACCAAACAAGAGTCTTTACGTTCTTGGAATTTTTCAACTGGTCAAATGATATCAAATCTGCCAAGTTTATCTTCTTCAGGGAAAGATTGCCCAAGGTTGTGAGTCGATATCAAATTATTTTAGTTTTGAATCATATTGTTGAGTTCTAGAGCCACTCTGGGAAGAGTCTGCACTTTGGCATAGAGGAATAAAATGAAGTAGGAATGGAATGAATCAAAAAATGGAATGAGAATGGAATGATCATTCCCATTCTCTTGTTTGGTTATTGATGGGTTAAAATACTATACATGTACACATATATATGTGGCAAACATATATTTTCTTTCTCTTCTTCTCTCTTCCAAACACTTCCTGAATTTGAAAACTAAGGAGAGAATATCAGATTCCGGCTAATTTCGGATTGGTCATCGATCTACTTCAATGGATGCAAATCGCCGGCTCCTATTAGATTGATCATCGACTTGAATGACTAATTTTGAGCTGATTTCGGATTGGTTGTTGATCGCCTTCAATAGGTTGATTTGGTCTTCAATGACCTTCAAGCAAAGCAATTTTTAGTACTCCGTATTTTCTAAGTGGGAATAGAATGTTTATTCCCCTCGTAAAGTGGAATGATTTTGATGAAATGATCATTCTTCAAAAATGGTGAAAATGAGCATTCTATCTTTAAAATTACTTTCTAAACAAAAGAATGAAATTGAAAGTGTTTCATTCCATTTTATTTCATTTCATTTTTATCTACCAAACTAGCCCTTGTCGTGGTCGGGAGGTGTCATATATTGACCACCTATGTACAACTAGATACAGTAAATGGTAAAGAAGTTGATTTAGTTCACTGATTGAGTAAACAGTGACTTACAATAAGTGGAGTAGGTCAATCATTCATTTGATTGTAGATAGATGAGTTGTAATCCCAAATACATGGAGCATTGCTTATGCAATGAGCTATAAAGTGTTTGCATGTTCTGGTAGTAAATTCTTGAGAGAAAGAGAGAGATTAATTTATTAGTCATTATGGTTTATATGTACGACCCTATCAACATTCTCTCCCGGAGTACCCTAAGGTGTGGATCTAACAGTGCAAAAAATCGTCACATCACTCATTTATCATAACAGATAAAATCTAAACTTTATCATTTCAAATAGTGAAGTTTCAAGATAAATGTGATGAATTTGCACTGCTAATACTGCCAAAAAAAAATGTGTAACATGCAGAATTTTGATCCCAGTACTAATATGGTAAAATGTTGGGAGAACTAAGACATTTTGTTCATTCTTTGTTGGCTGCATGTGTGTTTGTAGCTTTTGGTGCGTCTTAACTTCATATATCAAACCATTTAATAAACGAGCCCGAATTCTCTACAATGTCATACTGTATCGAACGATTCATAACACATACATGTGAATGCGATTACACATGTATTATATATGTATATGTTGTGAGCCGTTTTATGTAGTATGGTACCCGTACTTATTCAGCACGGAATCTCAACACCTAATAAACAAATAAACATACTAGATAAGATATTCGGAAAGCAGAGACTATAGTTGAGAAATCCTACATTAGGTGATATTTGAGCTACTATGCAGTGAACCTAAACAAATTCAACCCCTCTTTTGACTTTGGTCCTTAACTGCAATATTGACTGTTTGTTTACATAGGGTTTGTAAGCTGGCATGGTGACTCAGCTAGGTAGATTAATGGGTGAAAAAGTGCTTCCCTCTTCAAGTCACCTTGTATATAAGCACTCATCATGCTTGTTCGTGTCATTCTAGAGAGAGAGAGAAAGATGGGGAGGCCTCCTTGCTGTGATAAAGTTGGTGTCAAGAAAGGTCCATGGACTCCTGAAGAAGACATCATCTTAGTCTCCTACATCCAACAACATGGTCCTGGAAATTGGAGATCAGTGCCTGCAAACACTGGTAAGTACTTAATATCTCGTTTTTCAATATTGCAGCCTTTGAATTCGCCATTATCAATCAAAATTCCATCTCGGATTTTGCAGTACTCTCTGAATTTTTTTATTTTTCTATATTTTTGGTTTTGAATCTTGGCTCTAATGAATAGAATCTTCTTTAATTTGTTACTATGAAAAAAAGGGTTGTTAAGGTGCAGCAAAAGTTGCAGACTTAGGTGGACTAACTACCTCCGGCCGGGAATCAAGCGAGGCAACTTCACTCCTCACGAAGAAGGGATGATCGTCCACTTGCAAGCTTTATTGGGTAACAAGTAATCTTCACAAATCTATATCCATTCTCTCTCTATATATATGTGTATATATATTTCACATTTACCAATTCAATCCATTACAAGAATTCATATAAATATAATATCCCTTTCACCTTTGAATATATTAGATCTCTCTCAACTGATATTATGGCCTTAAATAGAGCGAAATGAAAACATAGGATTCATATAGCCGATCGTTGTTATTCTGTTGTTGTCTTCGTCTCTCTTTATATATAATCACTTTTTTTTTTTTTATCTCAACTTGTGGGCAGATGGGCAGCTATAGCTTCTTACCTCCCACAAAGAACAGACAATGATATAAAGAACTATTGGAACACACACTTGAAGAAGAAAATGAGAAGATTTCAATCAGCTTTAGATCCTCACATGGCATCAGATGATAATTCAACTAGCCATCACTTTGTATCCAAAAGCTACAGAGCAAGTACTATTGACGAGAAGATTTTAGATGTCACAAGTAATGCCTCAACTACTTCCACATATGCCTCGAGCACAGAGAATATTTCAAGACTCTTAGAGGGTTGGATGAGATCTACACCAAAGACTACTAATCTTTCCATGATCAATATTGGAGCTAAAGAGAAAGTAGTAAACGAGGATAGAATTGGAAATTCTGAGGCAACAACCTCGCTTCTGTGTCACACCCAACAGAAAGCCGAGCAAGAAGAAGATGATGATTTATTCTCTAGTGAAGAATTTGAATCTATAGCTGGTTGGGAGAAGTACTTGTCAAGTGATTCTACTCTGAAAGGATCTCAAACTGCTGCGACGACCGGTGAAAAAATGCATCTTATGCATGAGAGGAAGCAAAGATCAGATCATAATAATCCTCCATTTTCATTTCTTGAGAAATGGCTCTTGGATGAGAGTAGTGCTGGTCAAGCAGAAGAGATGATTGAATCCCCTCCAACATTCTGAAAAATTCAGATTATATGTATGTATATATATATCTAGGTGCATCACATAGTGTATGTCTTGTATACGTGTTGAAAAGTTAAAAGACGGACTTTACATTTGATATTATTCTACTCGATCTATCTTCGGGTTTGTCAGCTCTATATGTTTGACCATTTTAGTAGTTTTTTTTTTTTTTTTTCCCTTGAAAGTTGGGATTTCCTTGCAAAATGTAATTTCAGTGATGATACTGAAAGAATTATGTGAACTAAGCTTTAGTTTGTCGCTTTGTCTCTCTACCTTTTGGTTTATTTCATTCTATTTGGTCTGTGTGTTAATTCTTGACCGAAAAAAGGCAATTTAATGCAGTTAATTGTTGATGATTTAAATAACTCCTAATACAGCAGTTGCATGTCCATTTCACCGGATGTGGGTCAGATTCAGACCCAAGATAAATGCCGTCTGACCACACCAATCAATAGGAACATTTAAATTTTGAAAGCTCCACTTTATGTATGTAGAGTGAGCAATAGTTGGAAGTAACTAAAAATCAGTTCAACATTATAAAAATATAAACAAATTCATCACTATACACACACGATATTTTTATGTAAAATTACATACATCTGAGTATCTGAGTCGTGCACTAAACTACATTTTTTTTAATTCATTACTTTAAGTGTGTGTGTGTGTGTATATATATACATGCACTCAATCCTTTTCATACAAGGGTATATATGCACTCAATCCTTTTCTTACAAGGTATATTTAAATAGTGTCACGAAAGTCTTGCAACCAAATAGGGTAAATAGTTGCTTCATTTGTGATATCTTTTTCTTCAAACATTGAAGAAACATGTGATCTCAATTTGACCTTTTGGTGTGGGAAGCTCAAATGATGGTCCCATTCCCATATATGGCTACCATGCAAAATTTTCACATGATATATGTATATAGATTTGGGTTTAACCTTTTGTGCAGTAAAAATAAATAAATAAATAACCATGATAAGTAGATATATGTATAATGTATTTAGACTTTTTAAAAAATAATAATAATAATTTTTTAAACTCAAGGCAAATAAATATATATATAAAAAAAAAAAAAATTAAAAGACGTGGAAATACAGTGAAAATTGAGTCAACGACTCAAAATATACCAAAATTGTATAGGAATTAGCGTGAGAAAAAGTGCTGGAGTACTCATGAATTCAGTGGAAGTCAAATGAAAGCATTTTGCCTACAAGAGAAGGTGTTGGACTAATAAATTAGCGGTCTTAGCATCCGCGTTTTCCTTTCCCTCCTTTTGGGGGTAAAATATAACTTTCATTTCACAAGTCCCATTAAAGTTTTCTTGTTCACGACTTCGGATATAAATCTGTAACATATATATATATATATATGTATAACACTTTTGTCCATTCACAAGTTAATTTAACGTTGTATGATCCTCTCCGTGATTAACTCGATACATTATTGCACTTTCATTTGACACTTGTAATGATAAATAGTTAGTCTTATCGTAATCTTTTCTCAAACTATCAAAATTTGTAAAACTATTATACTTCGATGATACAAATTACTGGTATTTGTACCTTTGGAATAAAAATTGCAATTGAATTGCAATGGTATGCTTATTTATTTGTAACAATTAATATGGTGTTTGGCTCATGCTGCAAGAAATGGTTTTATGATTACTATCATTGGCTAAATGTATCAAAAGTAGCAACAGCAGTACTAATAGTAAATGGATTCGCCACTAGGGACATAACAGTGTTGGTAAGGATTCGAGAAATAAGACTTTAAGATCTCGCTTTCTAATCGCATTTCTGACTTGAATAGTGGGTATGTTATGAAACCAATACGCTTAAGAAAAAAAAAAAAAATAGTAAATGGATTCTGAATCTGGCTTTTGGGTATTAAAAAAAAATGGTATGTGCTTAAGAGATGGGTTCATGTAATGTCTATCTTGGTAATTTTATCAGAGATTGGAGAGGTTTATGGATAGGGGAGGACTATTCTTGTATGGGGTATAGCCATGGGAACAAAAAAAATGTGATGGACCAATATCTATAAATTTAGCTTTATCAATTTGTTTCTTGAAACATAAAAGAATGTACGAGTTCAACCTACTTAATAGTCTTAGGGTATGGACCATGACAAGTAGGGTTTTCTATCAGTATGATGCATAATGTTCCCCTGAGCTTTGATATCCTATTCTTTGTGTATATTTTTGTAATAACGGTCATTCAAATTTGATGTCTTGAATTTGAAATTGAAAGGAAAAATAGTTTAACACTGATTCGATACTCTCAAATATGACAGAATATAAATTAACACGAAAATTTCATGATATTACAGCTAACATGGTATTTTACAATTCAATTCAGGAAGATGTATATTTAAAGTCAAAATATTTCTACGGATTATATGAAGAAAAAAAGTAACCAAATACATCCAATATTTTGTGATTCGGTGATATCTTTTCATTTTTTCGTAAGGATTGATGAGCGTTCAAATTCCAAAGGAAAAAAAATGAGTGCGTGAGATCACCCATTACATCACTTCCCCCACTTTACAATAAACTCCACCAAACATTTGATTGCTTGGCATGTGAAATAAGGGCCACCCATATGGGTTATGAACCTCATGAATAGTCCTCTTCTATTTGCCAAAAAAGAAAACATTGAGATCAATAGACAGCTAGCCTCTCTCTCTACTCACTTTAATGTGAAATGACAGGTGGCGCTTCATGGAAAATCCACAAAAAAAAAATTAATAATAATAAATAAAAATTATGACCTACCCATATGGGTAAAATGAGAAATAAGTCAATATATGAGTATTGATCCCCACGACTTTGAATGCAATTTAAATTCTTTCACATCTTGAAACCCCATTTAATGTAGTCTCTGTTTATAGCTATATAATATATATATATATATATATATATATATATATATATAGTATATTTTACAATATTTTAAAAAGTGAAATGGGAGGGTTACTATCTATAAGTACACTGCATTTAAGCGATATGCTCAGTGGCCTTCTTATTAGGCTAACTAGTATTTGAGCCACCGGTGAGAAAATGGACGAAAATCTTTTACGTGATATAATTTACTCCGTCAGCTGAATTTTGTTCAACAAATATAGTAAAACTTTTATGTATAAAGGAGTCTTCATTCCTATGCCATCTGTTGTAGGAAACATCACTTTCGTGGAAAAAAGTTCAATGAAAATGAATTATATATTGCATTTGGTAGCATAAAAATTGGCGTCTTAACAATTAAAATTTGAACCATTATTGTTTTCTTCTGATTCTAAAATGTGAATTCCAGTTTATGTGGCTCTCCTCTTTGTAATAAAAAATTCTAAAATATTCGATCATGACTATTCACAAATTATGGTGAAACTCATAGCAGTTTGTAATGAGATTCACTGCAGTCTGTGAATAATCAATTCAACTTCGATTGTGAGATAATGAATCACAGCTCTTTTGTTATTATATATAGCATTCAATCAGTGAATTGAATTAAATTGGTGGGAAAATATATATTGAACTAGTTTCTAAGCAAATGAAACTCACTCGTTCAATGACTATAGCTGACTCGGTTCATTAAGTGCATCAATATTCTTGTTAAATTTTTTTTAAAAAATATGTAAACTTCTATAGTTTCAATCTTAAATCAGGGTCCGGTAAAATAAATTAATAATAATAATTTAACTGAGCATTAATTGGGTTAGCCCATCAGGGTCCAACTCATTCATGGCCATAATAGGCCGGTACGCACTTATATGTATGAATGATCTAGTGTGTGGCCCATTAGAGTTCTTGCAGAAGGTCCACAAGCCCAATCGCACACAATTGACTACTCATTTGGGCACATCTTCAACAATGTGTACCCACTGCACATGCAGGTGGTATTAAAGTTGACATAAGCAACTCAAAATGTACTTGGAACCTTCGTTGTTGGCTTGAGAAACTCGAGAAATTATTGTATCAATTTAATCATTGGTCCCAACCAATTATTATTAGTCAACACACAAACAAAAGGTTAAATAAAGTTAACACAAAGTTCATTCATTTCTATGCGTATCAACTCCGTGGATTGGGACCATGTAATACTTTCTGGTGAAAACTCGGCCTTTACCCACTTCGAGGCGCTCCTGGCCAATAATGTGGGGTCCTCTGGTATGATTAGTATCAATCTATGACATTTTTGGGCCCAATTTGATTAAGCCTGAAAAACTCCTATAATAGGTGCCAATTTCAGCCCAATTAAACTATTCAATTCCTCAAGCTAAGTTGAGTTTTGAACTTTTGGCCCAACGTCAACCCAACTGATGACCTAAATCCCCCAGAAAGTTGGAAATTACACCAGAGAAAAAGCACATAATCAGGCTGGGCCTAGCTTCAGTCTAATCCAAACAGTCTCTGAAAAAATTATTGGAAGTAAAGAGGGGTGAATGATATAGCTAAATTTACGTGTAAACAATATATTACATTTCGACAATAATATTTTGACGTATCATCCCAAATGCACCACCAAACCACAGAAATTGTGGTTCTCACATACTTTACCCAAAAACTGAATAACTTAATGAAGCATTATATGCAGCCGTAAAAAACTTCTTCCTCTAAGGATCATTCACTTGCGACATAGTGGAAAACTACTTTGACATCTTACTCTCTACTGCTTCCTTGAGTTTCCTCCCCAGTGCAAATGCCAGAGGAGGAGGGACAGCATTTCCAATCTGCCTGTGCTTGTGCAGAATGTTACCAGCAAATTTATAGCTATCCGGGAATCCCTGCATTGATGGGTTGAAATCAAAAGTCAAGAATTATCTAATAATTTCACATAAAAGATGGATTTTTATGCAAAACCTTATTGCGAGGGCATTATGTTTAGTTGTAACAATCTAGCTGATTAATGTTGATCAACAGTCTATTGTACAAGTGATCTATAGAAATAATCACATTCCCAAAGTAAAATGACTGCATTTGTTTCTCTTCCCCATTTTTATTCATATACTTGAATTTATTTGATGATTCCCAATTCCGCATATCATTTTCCTCATTAATGCCCAACTTCCTGATAATCTTGCTTCAAATAAATCCAAGTTTAAAATGTGAAAGCATGGTTCCAAGCTATTGATGATGCTATCATGCTAATGAAGTCATTAAACCAATTATGGAAACAAAACTTACTTGAGAACGGGCACATTCTCGAACTGTAAGAATCCTGTTCTGCTCGGGGTGAAAGCACATGCCCACCTTACCCATTGGTTGGGGGTCCGTAATGGAAGTTGGGAAATTCCCCTCCCAATCCAGCCTTCCAAATAGCCCCTTCCACTGATTGTGCCTCTTGGCTGTATTTGGTAGGCACCATGGTATCAAGTCAACCACTTGCCCAGTAGACAATTTAACCTGCATTTCATTTTAATTAATCATAGACAAACAATTTAATATGAAATAATTAACTTCATTAAATATCAGTTGCTTAAAAACATCCACACAAATATTTGCATTTACACACACATACAAAGGGAAAATAATGTATTATGCTGATACCTTCTCTTCTGGAAGGTCATGCCAATCTGCACCTGCACGCTTTGGAATTCTCTGACACCGAATGAGATTAAGCTCATTCATTTCTTTTGATATATGGTCAGACAAGACCATCATGTTCCCCCGAATTTTCTTTTGAAACCAAGAGACAGCATCACCTTGATACTGCATACCAAAATTAAGATAGTAAGATTTGCACAAATGTGGACAAAAATCAATTGCAGAAGCCAAGTCTTGAACAAGTAGTTTTTTTCTTTTTTATGTCTAAGCAAATAACTAATAATTTATGCACCTCTAAGTTAGTCTTAGACGCCCCATTGCCAACAGCAGGTAGATCTCCTATTGTATCTCTAACAGTTATCGAACGAAATGGGGCTCCAGTTGAAGTACTTCGTACAGCTGCATACTGCAAATTTCCTGATAATGTGATTTTCAACTCTGGCGCAGCAAAGACATGCATGGGCTCTGGCCACTCTGGGAGAGTCTCTTCCGGAGATGCTGCCCATATAAACGCTCTCTTCCTAGACTGAGAAACTCCAAATGCTCCAGCTTCAAGGATACCAAACCTCACCTGAATACAAGAAAACCAGTTGAATTTATATATTTCTCAGAACTAAACATTATGAGTTCATAACTTTATTCTCATAGGTTATGTAGCATCCTACCTGATAACCCATCTCAAGAAGAGAAGCTAGAGTTAAACGGAATGTCTGTCCTTTGTTGAAAGACACAAAATTCCTCACATTCTCAAGGAGGAAGAACTTTGGCCTAAAGTAATCAGCAAAGGATAAGAATGCCAAAATCATCTCACACTGAACTTTACTCCAGGAGCTTTGGTTAAACCTGTTCATTCCTGAGAAACCCTGTAAAAGAAACATGTTCTTGTATTTAACAAAAATTCTCGAGGTTTTAAAATCCCAGAGGTGAATAGGAGAAGGCCAGAAGCTTAACAAACCTGGCATGGAGGCCCCCCATTGATAAAATCCACTTGTCCTGGCAGAGGTAAATTATTGACCTCCATCTCACCTAGTGCTGCAGCTAATTCAGCAGCCTCTGCAGTTGAAATACAGTCATCTGCATCCCCACACTTCCCCATGACAGCCCTGCATTAGAACCCATTTATGGATCATTACAAATGAGTTAGTGAGTGACAGCAATACACACGCACACACACATATAGAGAGAGAGAGAGGGGTCTACAAACCAACTCACCTTAGAATCACATTGCAATTATTAATAAACATCAATGAATCTGGGTGATTAAGTTTAAATGCATCTCCAGCAGCCTCTTCATATTCAATTGCCCACTTGGTAGTTGTGACACCTGCAAAGTTGCAAGCAGCAAATGGGCCAATCAGCAAAATCATTAAAAACAAATATGACCATATGCTTAATGTCTACTAAATTAACAGGTAGATAAGGAAGGTTACCAGACTGCTCCAATCCCTCTGACAAACCACCACAACCAGCAAAAATATCTAAAGTTGCCAAGCGGTTCTCAAATGATTCTTTTGGTTTCTCAACTAAATCATTTTCCCCTTCTTTACACTTTCCTTTTTTCTTTCTAGATGTGGCATCATCATTTACCTTCCCAGTTGAGTACCTTAATTTGACGTGAGATGGCATCTATTCACAAATGGAATTTTATGAGATTTAGAATCCAATAGGACAATGATTTTTAGAGAATGCAAGATATGGTCAAAGAAAATTATTTGCAGATAGAAAAGGCTTATGAAATGATGGCATAAGTTGATTGTGCCTCAAATGAATTAACAAGGAATGATCATAATGAACTATTGGACAGGGGAGTCAAAATCAATTACCTGCTTGAGGGATCCCTTAGAAGGATCATATAGATATTCACAAAAGAAAATATGTTCAAAGATTGCAGAGACATCATATGATGGAAGATCATGCTTCTTTCTGACTTCGCATCTCCCTTCTATTGTCTCAACAGACACATCGTGTGTTTCTTCGCTATAATACACCTGTGGATACCAGCCGCAAGAACTCTTATGAGTGCAAGTGCTTACAAAATCATACATGAGAGAAATGCAAAGTTTATATCACCAACACATTAGTTATGACAACCAAAGTCAAAACAGGATTACTGCAAAGTGCATGTTAACATATTATGAAGAGCAATATGTTCTTATTTTTATCATTTGGAAGTACCCCCTACCTCTCGAATATCAGAACAGTATGCCTTCTCAACCGAAATGTCCTCTGGTCTGTAAAACCTTCTCACTTTAACCTGGGTAGAATTTGTTTCAGCTTGTTTCGGTGTCTTGGGAACAACAATTTCAAGCAATTGACATACAATATAAGCCTTTAATCCCACATTTCTCCCACCCTTAAAGGTTCCATTCTCCATCCTTTCTGCGGCGAAGTGATGGGCACTCACATAGACAAAATCATGAATGGAATACTCAGTTCCCTTGTATATAAAACTGGTCTTCCGTGCATTCACACTAAAAAGTTCCTTTTCACTCTCAGCTTTCTTCAATTTGCAAGAGTGGCACATACCAGATCCAAGACCCATAGCATCAAAGGGAAGGCTGAAGAAAGCACCTCTCTCAGGCCAATACAAGCTTTTACAGTAATATTCAATTGGTAATCCTTTTTTCTTCCTCTCTTCTGCTCTTGCTTTATCAATTTTATCAGCCTTCTCATTATCTTTCCTGTACTGATGTCCCCAAGGGATCGATTTTATATTCATAACAATCTTTTCTTTAACATCCTCCAATTCAAATTCCATGCATTCATTTGTCAAAAAAACCTCCCTCTCATTGGCTGTGTTTCCAAGAACAGTCTGGGATCCTCGTTGCATCATTCTTCCATGAAACATTTTGCATTCATCCAACGTTTCAAACATGCATTCCACAAAATATATGCTGTGAAGTTCTTCTGATTCAACAACTTCTACAAAAACAGCATCCCCCACAGCAATCACATCTCCACGGACAACAGCTCTTCTGTAAAGAGCCTCACCAGAAGATCTTTTGCCCACAGACTCCCCATCCCATCTAATTTCTTTTCTCGTTGAGCATGATTTAATTCGTCTGGATGCTGAAGGAGGTGTATGGATTTTCTCGGGAACTAATAATTTCTCCTCTGCATCCCCCTCCTCAATGTCTTCTTGATCTTCAACTTCTTCTTCTTCTTCTTCTTCTTTCACTTCACAACTAGCTCCATTTTTTGAATCCTCCGGAGAGTAATTTGAATAGTACTCCCCCCAGATTCTGTTGATAAGCTTTGTTGTTGTTGCCTGCATAGCCTTCCTCTTCGATACCACAGGTGCTATTCCTGCTCTAGGATTTAAGTTTGTTTCATTCCTCTCCACAACCTTCCTCTTCTTCACTAGCCATTTGGTATGGTGCCTCTCTTCCATTTTTTTTGTAAGACCAATCACAAAGGCACTTTTCTTAATCATTTCATCAGGAAATTCTGAAAACTGTTGCAATATTATTTGCCCATGAACAACAACGTATCTCTCCACAGATGCTGGATCAGATGAAATGTAAGCAGGAAAACGCTTTTCAAATTCAGACACTTTCTTGACAATATCTGAAAAAGAAAGGCGTGATACTCTGCTCTGCTCCTTCAACAATGTAATGATGCTAATTGCAAGCCTCGCTGTTTTTAGAACTGGTTCATACCATGGAGTGTATTGCTTTGATGGCTTGCCAAGCCTATACCTGTAGAAATGAACAAAAAATAAATATTATTAATCCATAATGCAAAAAGGTCTTAACAAAATTCTGAGCTGTGGGTGAATAGTTTCACACCCATAACTAGTTCATGAAAGAAATAAATTATAAATAACAGCAATTATGAATGATTTTATCAGTATAGTTAATATCTCAAACTGCTCTAAACGGATTGACAACAAAAGTGGATGTTTTTCTCTATGATGCTTTCCTTTTTTCTCTATAAAATTTACTCTTAGAAGTGTTACAACATATCATCAGATGTCCCAAGTGATTCCCACTTTATGATATTGAACTTGACAATTAAATGGAGAAGACAAATTAATCAGAAAACTAATCAGCAAGCTGCCTTAAATCTGTTATAAAAAGTGGCAAAATTAAAAAGAGACAAAATCCATAATATCACTTTGGTATTGAGAATAGATGTGCATACCAAGCCATATCAGTTCGGATTGATATGAAAACCATTGAGGATCCAAACTCAATCACCCATTCCTTTATTGGGCTCAAGTAAATTGGAATCCCGTCCACGTCAGGTGTTCCTGAACCACTTGATGAAGACTGGCCAGAATCGTTGTCAAGACAGAAACCCGTTCCATCATCAGCAGTCATAACCCCCGAGCCAAATATGGTAACATCAATTTCAGCACACTGCTTCATTGGAAGAAGCTCCAAGGAAATCAGCCTCAAGTCTGAGTCATATAGAGACCAATTGTGAAGCATGCTTCGTGGCAGTTCATCAGTATTACATATATCACTATCGCTGTCAAATACTATATACTCATCTGTTTCCTGATTGGATGTCTTGTAATATGCAGGCAGAGGATAGTCATTTGCAATCTCATCTTCATTAATCTTTATGTAGAATTTGTTTGACAAAGAGGCTAAACCCTGATTTTTCTTTTGCTTCATTGAACGCCAGTTCTCCTCCTCCTGCAACAATCTCGCCAATTTTACATCTTCATCTTCCTCCATTGCATAAGTTGATGAACCAGATTGGTTCATTTTTTTTGCTCCATCACCGATTTTTGGACCAATTGTCAAACTTCCACCTGAAGATGCTGTTTTTGCCTGTGCAAAATCCACACGCTTCGTACTCTCATCTCTAAGGGCAGAAAGAACGGGCAATTCTACAAATTGCTGATCATTCTTCTTGGATGTCTCATCCAATCCTATTAGTTGGTTATAGATGAACTCACCCTGAGAAATAACAAAATCCTTGATAGACATTCCACCTGAGAAGCACTTGTTTCCACTCATTGCACGGACAACCCCAGCAAGCAACTCATCAAGATTCAAGTCAGGATTCCCTCCAGAAGATTTTGAAAGTTTCTTGTATACCTCAATGCAGGCATAAGCCTTTGCAAAGAAGTGATCATAAAACTTCTTATAGCTTCCTGAGGGCTTGACACAATCATAATCAGCAATATCAGTTGACACCCAAATCACTGGAGATCCATCTTCATAACCGGAGATTGCCCATTCTTCTATCCTCCCAAAGCCTTCACATCTAAAACCATTTTGTTTTTCTTTGTCAGCATTTTCATCAAGAGGCAATATGAGACCAGAGATAAAAACATCATCAACTTCCAGCATTTCAAAGGGTTGTGGGAGACCACTTGAATCGTGAAAGATGAAATCTGTGAGTCTTCTACATGGCCTACCATCGTCTTGACCAGCAGTCATCCCTACAGCTACAGCCTCCTCATCTATCAACTGGTCCTTCTTTGTTTCAATAACTGAAGACTTTTTAGATATACGAACAGATTTCTCCTTGAAATCCATACAGGCAGCAGCACGTTTTGGCATTTTGTGAGAGCTAGCAGACTCCTCACAGCTATCAGACGCATTTCTCTTCCTTCCTTTTCGATTCTTTGCTGCTGCTTTTTCAGTCACTTTGCTTTTGTTCTTCTTCACTCCTATGACAAAGGACTAGTGAAAATCAGGTTGAATAAAAGGGGGCTTGAGTTTTATCAAGGAAACCTAGAAAAAGCCCACATAGAATACCAAATTCCAAAAAACCAATCAATTAAGGCAATCAGTTCATCCAAGGAGGACATGAACGAGGCATGACCAGTTATTAAAGAGATCACTGCTATATACAACCACACAAAATGACAAAAGGCTAACAAATGACAGAGATGAAACCTTCAAAAACTAATCATGTTCATAAGGTGTAATGTTCAATAACATGATAATTTGAGTGTCAAAATATACCATTCTGAGTATAATATTGTAAAGATTTATTCTTGAAACATGACTTCTCATTGATTAATGAAAATATATCCAATGTTTCATTTATATATATGATAAAAAAGTTTGCAAAAAATTCAAGGCTTATACTTAATAACGTATAAGACAGTGTGATGTTCTAATGATTGTCAACTCTCAGTCCCTTCAAATATTTTGGTGGGGGGAATACTTTTGCTCCCACTAATATAGACGCCGTGAAAAAAATGGTATTAGATGATAAAAACTGTGGAGAATTTTTCTGTTTATTCTAGAGGCGGCAAAAGAAAGCATGAGTAAATGTTAAGTTTAATCTAATGCACCTTTAAAACAACATTACACTTTCTGTCAATAAGATATGTTTAAAATTAACACATCTGAGAAAAAGAAACAAAATCAAAGCCACTCCAAGTGTGCACATACCATGTTTACTGTATGTCATTTGTATCACATCATTAAAAAAAACAATTAAGACAGGGTACCAAGAATAGCTATCAAATTAGCTCTAAAGCATACTGAAACATATGTATCATATTCCATATTGAAAGATAAAGACTTCTGTGATGTTGAATATAACGGAAAGAAAAAAATTACAGAAAAAAGTATATACAAGGGAAGGCCTCACCATATCAACTCAGAAATCACAAGATCAAGCTTAGGAAATCATAAAATTTGATATGGACAATGCAAAATGACATTAAATTGGAAAACAGATCATCAGCATGTAGCTGTAGCAGTTAGGCATAGGACACACATCACCCCTTACCAAATCACAACTACAAAACAAGGGCATCTGATTGATAACTCTAATGCAGAGACAAGGTTTCCTCAGTGACTAATAAGCTTATACTAACTCTACTTGAAAACAAAATGGTCTAAGAAGAACCCAAATTTTGGTTTCCTATCCTTCCCCTCCTTCTTGACAACAATAAAGCTGAAATGATGATAAGGTTTATACAGAAGAACCGAGTTTTATTTCCAAAACAGCATGAAAATTAAAAAGGAAAAATCAGCATACAAAATTTTTATGTTGACCTTTTCATTTCTTTGGCGGCCAACCTTCCCAGCTAAAAAGGAAATACATAAAATTCATACACACAAACACATAGCACACTTATATCAATCAAATCTCCATTTTGACTTTTAAGTAGAAAATGGAAAAAATATCCTGAACTCGAATAAATTAGTAAGATGAGTTTAATATGATGCTTTACATTAAATTGGGTACCCAAAAACCTAAAATTCAAAATAATTTGATTTCTATTTCTTCTATTCCTACTATTTATCCACATCAAAACAACACCACATAGAAATGGTGAAGTAGCTGAAAGTGAAAACCAAATCACATAATTTTAAACAATGAGAAAATGTGTGTGTGTGTGTGTGTGAATGCATGAATACAGTCGGATAAAATCCAATACATATCCGTTTCTAGAAACCCTAAGTCTAATGTACATAAACATGAGTATTTATGTATATATTGAAGGAATTACCTCCTTTAGGAGCCGTCGTATCTAAGAGAGTTGCAGATCCCATTTTTGCAGTGAAAGATTAATCCAGATCAGACAACAGCTCCAAATTCAAGAAATAAGGCAAAACAATCACAGATTTTTTAAGAAAATGTAGCAATCCGATAAATATAGATATAGAGAGAGGAAAGAGAAGGGACTTGGAAGAAGCAACTTGGTCTGTAACTCTCTCCACTGTGTCTTATTCACTTGGCTCTCTTTATTTAAACTTGAAAACACCAAATAGCTTTGCAAGCGGGAAAGCATTTTCAAGGTTTGGCGCCACCCGCCCACTAAAATATGTCCGGCCGAAAATTTATCTTCTAGGTCAAACGGGCTTATCCCACCTAATTTATACAGGAACGGAAGCAAGAGCGTGAGCGGGACGGAAGTAGAAATGATGAGACACTAGTTAAAAGGAATTGTGTAATTTAGATCTGAAGTAAAAATGGCTTTGCGGATTTAAACGAGCGGATTTAAACGAGTAGAGTCTGAGTAAAATTAGAACACACTTGTTAAAAAGAATTGTGTAATTTAGATCTTCATTAAAATAATAAAGTAAAAATAATTTTACAGATTTGTGTCGTGTCAACACTAACGGATGTAAAAAATTATGTGAGGGAGACACTTATATAGTGAGACAATTTTATAATTTTATTAAGTATATATAATATAAAACAAAAACAAAAAAAATCAGCATGCCGACATTTAACCCACAATAGATCTTATTTTATTTTATTTTTTCATTTGGATTTGCAATTCACTCCAATTAATTGGTGTGGATTAAATTGATTTAACGTTCAAATATTCAGGAAATCTGAATCACCCATTTTATAGAATTGGAGGAGGAAGGATTGAAGCTCTTATAAATTCATTTGACGGCTAGCATCTTCCTCCATCTTATGAGCCCATGAGCCACTTTTGTGCAACTAGGGTGAGTTGGGTGGGTTGAGGATCAACCTAGGTTCAGCCCATTGTATGTCTAAAATTTTGAACTCGGGTTTAATCCGAGTATAGAAATCAGGTTAAAAATTGGGATAGCTTCAACTTAGATTAAACCAACACGTAAAGATTTTAAAAATTGAATATAAATATATAAAACATTATAAACAATTTAAAAAAAAAAAAAAAATTTCTTCAAAATATTAATATGCAAGAAATCAATAATTAAAGAAAAACAAACTTATAAATAATATATTGATGACCAGTATAATGTATATATAAATAATACTTTAAAATTATATAAATGTATAAAAGTAAATTCAGATTCGTAATGGGATTTGGTTGTGGACACCTCAATCAAACCCAGCGTGGCCATTCCTAACTCTAAAGAAAAAAATTGTCCAAACTCGTGAAAAATTGGATTCGACTCACGCTGCATTCTAACTGGCACAAATTTCACCCCTGCCCAAAAAAAGTGAAGAACAAGGAAAGGAGAAGCATCTTCCCTAGTCCTTTTACATTTTACCCCATTGTAAAAAATTGTATAATAGTCAAATCACACATTACTATTTCCTTTTATTTCTTATTTATTTATCATGCAGTCAATATGGAGGATATTATTATTTTCTCTAATAAGTGTACTTATTTCATCTTTCCTTTATAAATTTTCTTTCATTTTTTGTTGTCATTTATACTTAGATAACACATAAATGTGAGAGGGACTCTTAATTCTTATCCCTCAAAAGAGAGCTGTGATACACTATTCAACATTTAGATGTGTCTAACTTTGAGAATATAAGCGGAGTGTGAGCCCCACCTTAACGTGTCCCGGGGTGTGGGCCCGATGTCTGAAGTCGGACGCAGAATCATTTCCCTCCTAAAAATATTCAAAATGCTACAAATTTGCCTCTCTTTTGCGGTACCTGCCAGTGTGATCCGAACACAGTCACGGCTTGGCCTTTTGTCACCTAACATTTACCACGCTGATTTAGTCATGGCTTGGCCTTTTGTCACCTAAAATTTACAAGAATACAAATGGGCTTGGCCTTTTGTTACCTAAAATTTACAAGAATACAAATGGGCTTGGCCTTTTGTTACCTAAAATTTACAAGGTATACAAATGGGCTTGGCCTTTTGTTACCTAAAATTTACAAAGAATACAAATGGGCTTGGCCTTTTGTTACCTAAAATTAACAAACCAAAAGAATATAAAAGGATAATTCTTAGATGCACGTGTAATGTGTCCAAAGCTAATAATGATGTATTATGCGTCAAATTAACAAACCAAAACCCCTTTAAAGTTGAAGAAATTTGCATACTATCGATGGGAGAAGGGGTAATTACAATATTTTATTATTGAAGGGTTTTATTACATGGTTCCGAACTAATTAAGAAATGACATATAAGTAGATGTGTGTCAATCAACTTTTTGTTCATACATCGCTTTATGATTGGCTGAAACATGAGATTACATAATAATTTCTCCCACAATGATTTGCCTATTTATTTTTTAACCAAAACTTAACGCAAGATGATATTTTGCAAAACTCTTGATATTTTAATGTACTAATCCGTTAAAAATTTAGTAGACAGATACATGCAATTATTCATGAGTTCATTGAGTTGTTAAGCAATTTAGTCTAAAATCATATATAGAAGGTTGTGTTATCTCATCATATATGCTAATTTTTACAAGGTTATAGAATTAAAATAAATATAATCTATCTTCAAGTTTAAAAGAAAAATAATTTGAGGAAAACTTAAAATGTCATAAATGTTTTTTTTTTCCTTTTTCTTTTTCCTTTTGGTAGATTTTATTTTATTTTATTTTATTATTATTTTTTTTTTGGGTACATATGTCGCACACAATTTCATCTATCTCATTAGTACTGTCTCTAACTCTCAGCCTTCTGTCTGAAAGGAGGATATGCCACTTAAACTAAGCCTTTTGTGATTTTAAAAATTAAAGTTAAAATTTAATAAAATATATTTTTGGCATTGTATGCCATGGGGCTTGCCTAGGTTAATTTTGGTACCATTTAATTCTTTTCATTAATGAAAAGCAGCCACTAAATATAGACACAATGATTCAAAATGTTGTGACTGGTGTTCCTTGCAGCCACTAAATTAAAATTATTAAAATTTTTAAAAAATTTAATTCAATTTTATGAGTTATATTTTTTCAATTCATCAATTTCAATTTTAAGACTCCAATTATATAGAAATAAAACCTAAAAGATGTATCCCCAAATCGCCAACAACATACATTAAGTAATTAATAGGCCACATGTTGGGTTTTGGTGGTTAGAGCACACTCATAATAATAGACTTCATTTCACATGCAATTAGATCCACAAATTTTATATTCCATTTTGCCAATTTGGTTGTTCAATGCCAATACACTTATTAAACATTGTGGATTGGGCTTTGTTTGGTAGGATTGCTTTAAAAATCTAAGAATAGCTTTCAATTTAACATAAAAATGATAATGGTTACTCAAATTTAGATAGGGAGTTATCTTTGAGTTGGTCAAATGTATGGATAATGGGTGAAGAAAGACAGTGATTGTGTTTGTAGCTTGTGATTTATTATATAAATCATTTTTTAATAAAATACTCTAATAACAATTACATCTTCAAGTAGAAAAGTTAGAGGAATCAATTAATGGGTCTAACAAACCAAATCCATCATTCCAAAAAAATAAATAATAAATAATAAAAAAGGTGTTGACCGGATAAGGTATGCATTTTCCTTCTTAAAATTATAGCATTTTTACTACAAAATATATGAGTTTATAGATTTAAACAAGAGTAATATTATCACGAAATTCTTATATTGCTTCTAATTTTTGAAAATCTCTTTGGAGATTTTTTCTTTTTTTTTTTCCTTGAATTTCACAGTAGAATGTATGTATACATATGTGTGTGTGTATAAAAATCTCCCATAAGAATATTAAGACATGTTTGATTTGTAATTCTGTAAACGGTTTTTTATTTTCAGATAACTGAAAACATAAAACTGTACAAAAACTTTTCTTGGTTCAATTTTCTGAAAATTTAGTTTTAAAAATATCTGTTTTCAAAAAAGTATATAAGATTGTTCTCTAAAAACAGTTTTCTATTTTTTGAATTTTTAAAAACTGTTTTTATAATTATAAACCAAATAAACCCTAAATTATTATTTTTATATAATTAAGCTCCACTGTCCACAATCCACACCAACTTGAATGTCTTTGTCACTCAATTACAGTACAAAATATTTAAATCCTTCCTCTCACGAGTAGTACACACACACACACACACGACTTGTTCTTTGTATTACACACACACACGACTTGTTCTTTGTATTATATATTGCAACATATTAAACAAATCATTCGACGATCTGAACAAACTCGTGCTCAAAAACCTCCCAAGACTTGGTCTCGTGTAATCTATGTGACATAATTAATACACTGTAATTCTCAGTGCCTACATTGTAATTCTCAATGAGTTGATGTAAAGGGGGGGAAAAAATGAATGGATGTCCTTTTATTCCAAAATGAATGTCCTTTCCATCTATACCTTTTTATCACCTGAATTTTTGTATTCTAATTCTTCATCTTACAAGTCACTTTCAGATTAGTTAGATATTAATGTTCAACAAACCGTTCATAATTTAATATGAGTTACATAGATTTTTTTAAACAAAATTTAGCGAGAGTGTATATATATTAAATTGGGGTCAAGTTCTAATATCTTCACTCCTTCTGGAGTGAGATAGGAATTGCTTTAGTGGGATTAAAATTAAATTAATTAATTTTAGTTTAGTGTAGCATGCAAATAAGGATAGAAAGAGAGGATTGATTAAGTGGAATTAAAATTTAATTGACTTTAGTTAGTTTCTCGTGTATTGTATGTATATGTATATAAATTTATAAAGTTAAGTAATTTATTATTTGTATATAAATTTATTACTTTGAGTCATTTATTATCTTTTAAAATTCAATTGGCTTTAGTTAGTTTCTCGTGTATTATATGTATATGTATATAAATTTATAAATTTAAGTAATTTATTATTTGTATATAAATTTATTACTTTGAGTCATTTATTATCTTTTGCAAGGAAGGTTGTTATATAACAACCTTCCTTGCAAAAGATAATACATGACTCAAAGTAATACACATAATAAATATATATATATATATATATATATAACAACCTTCCTTACAAAAGATAATAAATGACTCAAAGTAATAAATTTATATATATAACAACCTTTCTTACCAAAGATGATAAATGACTCAAAGTAATAAATTTATATACACATAATAAATATATAAATTTAAATTATTTATTATCTATATATAAATTTTTAATTTTAAGTTATTTATTATTATTTGTAAAGAATATTGTTATATATCTATTTATTCGGTATATATATAA